GTGTCAAACTCTAAGGCAGGTATGTGTAAGTGAAAGTGATTATAAATTATTGTTGAATTTTCATAAATTGTTACTTAGGAAGTAATACTAATGAACCAAAAGCTCGTCTCCATCCTTTTCAAAAATTCGAAACTTTCTTCCGTCACACCCGATCGCACATGTTTATTTTGAAAGAAAACATGCTTTCTAATGATACCCGAGGCACCTTTTGATAGCTCCAGAGATCGAAGTCGGTGAAGAAAATTACTCCATTCTAGTATTCCCGATGTTTGGTCGCAAAAATCTGCTCGCAGAAAATCGGAGCAATCGGTATCATAGCTATTATTACCTACTCTTTTTGAGTGTACAAAGATTGCGCTGATTGAACATGTCTTAAAAAGTCATGATTTTTGAGGAATCCGTAAAAAAGGGTAAATATGATTTTTTTTTTGGCATTTGCCGAAGATTATAACTTTTCATAAAGGGGTTCAATCATTGCAAACTTGGGACAATCAGAAAGAGCAGGCTATAAAACCTACAATGCTCCGATTTCCGTTGCGAGTTTCAGTTTTGCGATCAAACGCAGAAATTCTGAGAATGGAGTAAGTTTCTTCTCGTGCTTCTATCTCTAAAGCTTGCTTTCATCAAAAGGTACTTCAAGTAGGTACTATTGGAAACATGAATTAGCAGGCAGTGGATAGTGGTTTGGACTGCAGAGCTGGACGTCGTGGGTTCGATTCCTCTGGGAGGCCACTCGTTTTACATTTTTGTAAATCTTAGCAGGCAGATTGCAAAACCTGTCTACATTTGAAAAAAGTTGATTTTTACAATTTGAAGCAATATATTTGCATTTATTGGCACTGAAACACCGTCTAACCTAAAAAAAACACTCGGTAAGAGATGACCAGTTGTGTACAGAACATTGCAGTTGATTAACATACCGTGCATCAAAAAATCGATAAAGACGCCATTTTTGACAGGTTAGCTGCTCCTCTCTATGTTAAGCGCGAATTCGGAATTTTTCAGTGTATTGAGTAAAGTTTTTAATGAAAAAGGCTAAAAACGAGTGTTTTTTAGGTTAGACGGTGTTTCAGTGCCAATAAATGCAAATACATTGCTTCGAATTGTAAAAATCAACTTTTCTTAATGTAGACAGGTTTTGCAATCTGCCTGCTAAGATTTACAAAAATGTAAAACGAGTTGCCTCCCAGAGGAATCGAACCCACGACGTCCAGCACTGCAGTCCAAGCCACTATCTACTGCACCAAAAATCCTTTATAACCTCCTCCAGAATGACGTCATTGCATATATGGATTGCGGTTTAGAGATCACTGTCTGGGAACGGTATACGCGGTATACACCGCTTACCCAATCGTCAGCGCGATTAAGTATCCTTCCCTTGTCAGATAATCGCCGAGGGCAGGCGGTCCACAAAATCGCACTTTTCTACAAGCGGTCAGCAGGATTTTGGGGCGTGGCCAAACCTTCAGTGGGCGGCACTTCCTTTACGGTCGCATATTCTACCAGCGGGCAGCAATACATCATTTTCTGCAAGCGCTCGGCAAATAATTGCATAAAATATATTGGCAACTTCAAAAATCTCACTTCAAAAGACATCCTAAGTGTGGAATTAGAAGCCAACCAAAATCTTGTTTTTACCATTTTTCGCTTTTATGGTTGTGCTTTCTCTAAATATTATTCAGAGCCAGGAAGACGAATCAGGCTCAAATCAATCCTATGAAATCTACGAGGTCTAGGCTATCAATTCATATAAATAACGTTCGCTAAAAATGCTGTTTTGATATAGTTAATGGGGTGTGGCACCACCCCTAAAAAGCTGTGGCTGCCACAGCTAAGGGGTGGTGTCACACCCCATTAACTTACCTTCAACAGATCAAATAGCTAATTTTTTATATCGTTGTTGCTTAACCTTCTTCTTTACATAGCAGACATTTCATATGAAAACGCTTCTTTAAGAGCAAGATATAATCGTTTTTCCTTAGTATGCAAATGTAAAATACTGGTGAAATACAGCGAAAATATTGGGATACGGTGACATGCTAAGTCTGCGCTACTATGTGAACCGCAAGGGATGGCCACAAGAATGTAAATATTCGATAGCCTAAGCTTCATAATCTACTTTAAAGTGATTTGAGCCTGACTAGTCTTCTTTAGCCTGAGATATTGAAAACGAGAAATAGAACAAACGAGATCTTGGCTAGCTCTTACTCCTTAATTTGAAGGCAAATTGAAGTAGGATTCCAATGTGAGCAAAGAAATAGTGGTCAAAGTAACATGTTTGAGAACGACCATCTCGCTTATAAGCGTATTGGGAAGTCTCATAATTCGCTATTTTTTGGCCCACAGGGTTTATTTTACTTGCTAATTACAAAACGATGCTCTTACGCTTTGTACATCTTTAGTTATGCTTACTGTACGTGTACAATAAGAGCTCAAACAAATGTGTTAGCATTTTGCATGATCGGCCAGTTTGACATTGTTAACGAATATCATGTTATGCGAACATCGGACGCCTTGGTACGACCTCTTCCCCTCCCTGAACTGCTCAAGACGATCCCTCAGGTGCGGCATGCCACACCCCACGCTTGACCCTGATTATAGGTTATTTTAGCTATAAGGTCCTGACGGCAGAAGATGGCGAGATTGCCTTGGATATACTTGTAACAAATAATGGCTCTCTTAAATTGGGACGGTTTCTTACTCTTCTAAAATCGTATAAAGCTACTCTATTTCTACAGAGCAAAAAAAAAATGTCAGCTTAGACACTTAGAGAAGCAGGAAGTCAACAAAACAAATTCAGAGAAGAGATACGTGAGGAGCTTTCAATTTGAAGAAGAAGGGCAATGAGCGATCTGTGATCGTGCAAGTGTGAATACTCAGATATCTGTAATCGACTCCTTTTTCACTTCTAATTCTGTAACTTTGTACATTACGGTGATAAAAAGTGATAATTCACTCTGATCTTCAAGGGACCCTTGATTTGATCCTGCTTCTGCTGAAATATCCTAGCAGCTCCTATATCGATAAAGCTGCATCTCTTCCTTAAGTGACACTTACTTCCTGACCTCTCATGCTATTTGTACTAGAAACAACTGCCATCATCTTTGGTGCTCCAGAATCCTAGAAATTTTAAAGCATGTGCACAATATATCTCTTTCTATATCCCTTCTGCAAATAAATTTTAACTCCAGTTTTGCTTGTTCCATCAATATGACCAATTTTTAAAATTTCAAAGCTTTGTTTACCTTGCAACAAACTGCTCGAAATACTGGAGGGGATCCATAAGTACAAAGAAAATCACCTTTCTTAACGGCTTCAAAAACCAGTTTTTACTTTGCATTATTTTTTTTTCAGGGGCTGTGTGGGAGCATCTCCTTTTTCAAAGTTTGAGGTTTGAAAGTTCTCTGATAAGACTAGAAAGTTTTTGCTGAGAGTGGCATTGGCTACTCGAGTCTTCATTCAAAGAAACATCTCCTTCCCCCTCCCCCCCCCCCTCCTTAGCGGAAAAACTTTTGAGCACTAGTAAGGGCAACAAAGAGACCATTAGCGCAAAGCTATTAGCAGCTTTTTATTATTAACACTGGAATGTCGATTATAATATCATCCTGTCGTGCCTAAATTGTTGTTTTTTTTCGCAGTTAATAGTAATCTAAGGTAAATAAAAAGAGCAATCTCATTTTGCGCGCTATACAACTACTGCTCGTGATAATGTATAACAAGATTATATTGATAGTAACTATTAGTTGTGTTATAGCCATTGTTCTGCTCTTCCTCGCTAAGATCTCTGAATACCTGATATTAAACTTTCTTTCAATTTCCAAGAGCCCCATCGTTGCCTCCAAAAGTGATAGCAAAACCCTAGTTCACGTTGTATACACCTAGTTTGGCCATCACAAGGTAAAATAATGCTGAAAGCACATGAACGTTTGTCAGATCAAAGATGAGATTAGCGCTAAAGAAACAACCCGTGAATTTCTCACAATTAATCCGCGCACAAACAATCACGCTCTGCTTCTGCGCGATTACAGTTAATATCGAACCCGTTTCTTCCCTCAGCTGCCAGATTCAAATATAGATTTCACAGATTCAAATATAAATTTCAGAGTTTGAAATTTTTATACGCGTGCGTGTGTATGCGCGCATGCACGCACATGAACTGAGCGATTCCTATTGTACCTTAGGGGGTAACATTTGCGTGCCCAAATCTCCTCAGAATTGAAAGCGCTCTATGGGCATTTTACGATCCCAAATCGGCTTGTTTTCATCAATGTTATTTGGTCACGCGCAAGTATTGCATGCACCGCAAGTTACTACATTATTTATAACACCTGCTAGCGTCGGAACCACTAGCGCATAATATGGTCCATCTTCTATCTATCCACAAGTCGTGTCGAGGGGGCCACGGGAAGAAGGGGGGGGGTAGGCATATTGAAGGTGATCCTACATGAGTTATGAAGCTGTGTAAACGGCTTCTTGCTACTCGCAATTTACCACAGTATCTCCAATTTTTTGAAATCAGTATAGGTTCCTAAAAGTATTGCGAAAGCTCGCAAAGATTTTTCCGTTAATTTGACAGAAGTTCTCGTCTTGCGCCCTTCCCCCTTCCCCCTCCTTCTTCGAAAATCCGGACCCTAGTGTGTCGAAAGTTCCTCAAAGCTCTGCTAGCCCTCTGTGCTTATGTATTATGGCCCATGGGCCAGTCGATTCTCTCTTTTCTGACATCACTCCTCGATTATGTAGATAGTAGCTATGGAGGTCTACTTGGCATAGTGAAAATCCTCTTCATCCCAGGTTTGGCCGTGAAGTTTTTTTTAAATATATCTGGTTTTGGAAACATAAAAGACTCTAAAGTCCGTATTTTCTTATTTAAGAACCCTTTAAAGTTTAGTGAGTATGTAAATGTGGTCATAAAAATTTTTCTTAACAAAATTCCCTTTTTTATTCCAGCTCAACTGATCGACTCTGCAAATACCATTTAGCATTTAGATAAGCACATTTTGATGGAAGCTACTTCTGGTTTAAATCACCGGAACCAAGCGGAGCAACATTCGAGGAAGCTGAAGGTAATTTTGTAGATTCGCACCTCACACTACTTTTTGCTTTTTATGCACTGATGGAAATAAGTATTGGATGATAGCTACACATCCTAGCTGAGCAAAGATCCTGACACTACCTGAAGTAGAGGATACCGTAACTACGGTCAAAAACAAAGTTCACTTGTGAAGAGTTGAAGAGTTTCGGTCAATCTACTTCAAAGTCCAGTCTTAGGCTAAAGTCTAGACAAAGAGCACTGACTCAGAAACAAAGACAAGTGCTTTTCACGAAAATCTACAAAGAGTACATAGATATGCACTTTTGAATGTTTGCAAAAACAATGTTCATTGATAAAATACGGTCTGTGGTGAAAAAAAAACAATTTTTGTGCTGTTCTAGATTCTTCAACGATGTAGCGCACACTTGTTTCTGTACAGGAGTGCAAAAAAATTTTTGAAGACGGAATTGAGACATTTAAAGATTTTGAACTTAGACTTTTTATTAATTTTATAAATAGTATTAACTTCGACACTTTGGAAATTTGGCTGCATTCATGAGAATTACGTTTTTGTACATGACCACTATGAGCTCTTATTCTTGGAAGATCCTTCCCTTTTTAGGTGTCACTGCTCTACATAATTTTTCCATTGAGGCTTATCTTATTGAGGCTTTATATCTGTGCCAAAAATTATCTCTAGTTTTTGCAGGTGCTACACCGAGCCTTCACTGCAATCCCACGAAAGCTGAGATACAGTTCTAAAGTACAACGACATGGGCCCCTTGATGATATGAATGGTAAGAGGAACACTAGATAGCATAAAAAAGTCCACCCAGCTATCACTTAAGGACAAGAATTCAGCAAAAAGGAGAAAAAGGCTTTTAGTGGCAGATAGAGGTCAAAAAGTACTGAATGTTACATTCGGGAGGGGTTAAAACGTAAATTTGGTACCTTTTTTCCTTATAAGCAGAGAAGTTTTACGCAGGTATCTATAACTCCGTTCACATAATCGGCGACTACCAATGAAAAGGGAAAATTCAGTTGGGAAATTTAATGCATTCTGACCGGTGTACAGGACATAGAGCTCTAATTCTGGCACTAATTTTTTTTTATAGAAAACTCCTAAAAAAGATTTTGAAGGGATGCAAGCACCGCGACAGTGAGAATTTACGTGACCATAATTCGAAACTAATGAAGTATTAGGTTGGTGCAAAAGTAATGAGCATTTCTTCACGCCTTGTTTCAGGACAACTTTTTTTCCACAAACTTCCTTCCTTGACAGACATTTAGCACACTCTTGGAAAGCTCCTTTTACGCTTTATCTAATGGTGGCTAAACTAGTTTCTAGCCTCCTTTGTTAGAATTTTACTGAGCTTTACATAATCGCACTGAATATCAGAATTTCATTGTGATCGCTTTTTCTAACCAGAATTCATTCGCGAATGAATTTCAAAAGCATTCATTCGAAGATTAGCTGTTGCATGTGGTGGAAATTGTCTACATTACGCACATTTAATCATACCTTCTGGGATCATCTAAGCTGAGAAATCGACACCTCAACATACCGTTACGAGTTACCGTTGCGTTCATTTTGTGGTCCATGGATTTCTATAAAAAAGAGCAATCGCCAAAAACCTCGCTCATTTCTATAAGCGTAAGGACGGAGCCTCACTTGACAGTTTTTTGGCAGAAATGTTTGACTGTTCGCAGAAAAACAAAAAACTTCATAATCTGAAACTTTGAAGATGATAAATTGTGGAAAAAATGACAATTTTTCTTTGATTTTCTTCTTCTTGCAAACCTTTTTCCTCCGAACCCTTTCCATCTTTATTTGTACTATTGGCTTGCGGCAACAAGATAGGCTATTTCCCATTAATTTTAACAAACTTCAAAAAGAGTTCAAAAACCTAAAACAAGGTTTCAAAAATAAAACTTTTTGATTCTCAATCCATATTTTTCTGCCCGTTTACGATATTAGTACAGGTAAATGCGCTGTATTGCTAAAGGTTTGATACTCTTGATGGTTTAGCGTTGAATGTAAATGTTTTGGAAAGTTTTAATTCATTAAAGCGAGCACACTAAAAATGCTCGTACCAGTTCTCGTTGTATTGTATGGAAGCAAACTCAACTATTACTTAAGATTTTTCCTAATGTGGAAACACTCCTTTTGTGACCGAAAACTTTGATGAGAGTTTCTTCAAAGCTCTTTGATGTTTCAACAAAGAACAGGAGTGTTGAACAATTCAGTAGACTGCTCTTTTCACTTTGCTCAACACCCATCGAGGAGGTCTCGCTCTGGCGGAGAGGATCGTGCGTCCTCTCCGTTTACAGTCGTCTTAATCTCATGTGCAGTCGCCTCGGACATTTGCTTAGCCCCTACATCTGACACTTTGACCCCTCATAGTGTATGCTCATAATAGACTATGTACTCCTGGTCCCGCAAAATATCACTGAGTTCTGACGATTCTTGGGACGAAAAAGTGAGAAAAATCACTAAGAAGCTGTGTACAGGCACCTGGAAAATTCCTGATTTTTGCTGTTTTTTTGCTATCGCGGACTTCATGCGAGCACATGTGTTAGTTTAAGTTTGTGTGTATACTTGCTGCTCTGATCGCCAATCCGGTTCGCGATGTTTATTCGGACCCTCAGGAGTTCTAGTCGATGTCAATACTCCACAATATGGACAAAAGCGAGCCCAGAGGCACATGTCCGACAACAGGAACGTCGGTTACGTTCCCTCTTCAATACATCCCTATTCCATAGCATATGTGTAGGAGACAAAGCAGAAGCTAAAAAAGATGCTCGCTGATCTTTTGCTAGTGATCGGGATCTCGGCTGTAGCGTGTGAATCTGTTTGCTCGTATATCTTTGGAGTGTCTCGACTTTACATTGTTCATGTATAATCTTCAGCGGCGCTACAAGCTCATGATCTTCGTTTTCATTCACACTAAAGCAGTTCCGCATTTCTTGTACTCTCATAAAACTTGACTGATGGAGAACATCTGGGTAACCAATGAAAAAGCTATCTATTTTTGGCATCGCAAAATGTTTTTTCCAAGAAACAGTACGCCTTTTTTATACTGAGCTAGTAAGAAACGATTTGTTGAAAAATTGAAACAAGTCTCGATAATTGGGAAGCATGTCATTTTCTTCTAATTAGTGCTTCAAGTACTCTCAAACTCGAACGTATTTCACCTCTGCATTTTGCAATCTTCGAGACGAGGTTTCTGCAAAATTTCGGAGTCCCAGAAGAAGAAATGTGCAAACTAGGAATTTCTGCGAAAAAAAAACAATGAATTGTGAAAAAAAAAGCATTTTGTAGCTGGCCGATGGTGCAAAGAAACTCAATTAAGCACTTATTATGGTGTGATAGTCCCTTACCGTATTTACATTTAGTAGTTCCCTACCTTTATATGTCCTAAAAACTTTGGCCCAAAAACACTGGATTTATTTGAACTAACACAAGATATAAGATTAGTTTGGAAACACCTTTATAAGGATTAAAAATACCAGTGGGTTTCGATTTTGGTATTTTTGTTTGGTTACAATATTCTTCCTCGGCTATTGATAAGTTTGAGTACGTAATAATATCGAAACTTTGACTTGTGAATGTACAGAAAAGTAAGAAGATTAAGAAACCTTGAATCTTTTTTTAGTATTTTTTTTAATTTTATGTCCTGAGTGCATCTTCTCAACATAATATCCAAAAGTTGCTCAAGATTCACAAATTCACCAACTAAAAATTGCTTCAGGTGACACTGGAGCTGCGGCTCCCCCGATCCGTCAAGGATTCAGCCTTCCAAGACGTCATCGATCCTCTCTCAGAAAATCGCACCGACTACAGCATACTCCGCAGTTGGTGAACACCTGGATAGACACATCAAATTTCGAGTTAGCTCTGATATCTCTGTCTAAAATCGACTCTTTCCGATTTGTATTTACAGTTTGAGTACACCACGCGAAGAGTCCGACTACAGCGACAATCTGTATTGCAGAATTCTGAGCATGAAGAAGAACGTCTCGGTGAATTCATTGATAACTTTTAAAACAGTGTACTGAAGGCTCTCTAGAGTGTATCGTAGAAATTTAGTCGAATCAATGCATGAAACAGATTCTACTAATGCTTACGCTTAACTGTTATTCCCTGCGCGTTTTATGAATTCTAAAGGTTAGGATTAAACCTTTAAATTCAAATGAATATACCATACACCGCGAAGCATTCTGCCAGGTATTTGTCTAGCACGGTGGAGATTCTGCGAGGTTTTTCAGCGGATGACTCGACCGCATCTATTCTAGCACCCTTATAATCAATTCGCACCTTTAATTCAGTGAGCAAACATAAGTCTTTTAGGGAGACGAAAAAGATAAAGTGCACCGAATCGCTAGACATGACTCCACGATATCTTTCGACAGTGTAGATGACATTGAAGACGTGAAGAGTGCAGAAGAAACATGGAACCAGAGCAAAGAAGCGAAGTAAATGTTCTTATAATTTTTTGGAAGAGTTTGCAAAAATTTGAATCAGCTCTAATTTGGCAAAAGCAACACTACTATCTACGGAAATTATTGATTGGTCTTTGTAGGAATCTATAGGAATTATTTATTTTAGAGCAGGCCTCCTCACTGCTCTCACAGCATTCTACAGCTTGTTTCTGACAATATTCGCCCTAGTGCTTGAACTTTCCCATTTACTATCGGGCGAAGAGCTCAGAGAAGTTAATCTAAAAGATATGGTAAGCGCATTTTCTTCTTTCCTCTCGATGCAGTATTTCGACTTTCTATTTCTAGATTTTTGGTGCGTATATGTACGGAGTTTCCATCTTCTTCTTTATTTATATGTATGTCGTATTGTTGCTCAATCCTCGCTGGTACTGGACTATCAGTTTTCTAGAGGTAAGAAAATGACAAGTGAACCCAACTAGACAATGCGAAAACTAGGAAGTTTTGGTGAAATTTCTTCATGTTTTTTGAAAAAAAAACGGTTTGCATTTAGAAGGATCTTCTGTGCCACATGTATACTATATCATTACGGACGATTATCATAAAACGTTTGATTTGGCAAAATAAGTTTAGAGATATGTGAAAAGCACTAACTCAAGCAAATCTTCTATGTCATCTGCTGTAGCTACAGTGCGAAGGGTCACTCATTGCGGTTCTTCTGCTGGAAGTCTCTTTTTACGATTAGGATGTGTTGGTGAGCCGACATTTCTGAGTTTTTAATCCAACTGCTTTTTTTTCAGCGTTCGGCGTCACAGGAGTTGTATATTACGCGTTTCTAGTTTTTCTTTGCACAGCAGATCGTGCTTGCACAGCCTTCGCAACCACTCTCGATATTTGTGCTGTTGTTTTTATATTCATTCAAATGCACTTTATTTTCTGCAATTCTAAGGTCCGCATTTACTTATTTCCATAAGATTTGTCAGCAGCAGCTAGAAGTAAAATATTGTAGCTATCGATTACTGGTCATCATACTGCTGCTCGATTTGGCACAATGCATCTGATAGCGGCTAATTTGTGGACATGGATAAGATATGTTCTTATGGAAGAAGGAGTGATGGAAAGGGAGATAAGGTAATAAATTTTGGTACACATTCAGTACGCTAAACGACGAAGACCAATAAAAATGCTTCTTGATCTCTTATCCTGCCTACGCAGCGCCCACCATATAACTTCGAGTGGTACTTTGTCAGAGACTTTCCACGGCTTGTGGTTCATATTGCCTCCCCCAGCTTCGTTTGATAATTACTTTGGCGTTATGAACTGCGTTCGTCGTGGTGCAGCCCCCACGAATACGCTGATTGAGGTTATGATGCTCCGGATTCTAATTTTTTTTGAATAAGTTCAACAGCAGGCAGCTACAAGCATCGGCTATTTCCCTTTCCTTCTTCCATAACGGTATTGTTGTGCTTCTGTACCAGTCGCTCGGCATCTACTTGAATTCTAACATCTAAATGAGAAGTCGTATTGGCCAAGTGACTCCATTCTGCTCGCTCTTCTTCCAGAATTTGCTGGGGATGTCGTCTGGACCAGTTGGTCACCCCTTCTTCATCTCTGTAATGTATGCGGACTTCCTCCCCTATGATGTTCTGTATCAGTCCCCGTACGGTTTCAGCCACTATCATAGATGCCTTTTCGTAGTTTGCGATGCCATTCCTCCAGTTGAGCTTGCCATCGTTTACTAATCTCTTATGGTCTTCTCAAAAGTCTACCGCACTCGTCCTTGATACTGTAAAAATGATCTGTATCATTTGTGGTTCTTGTTTTTCTTCCTGCGCTTCGGTGGATCTCGGTCGCTTCACGAGTGTGCAGCTTCTTGTAGAAATGCCATAAACGCTTTCTTCGCTTTTCTGACGCTCTTTTTTGCTTCACGCTTTGTGCTCAAGCACTTTCGAGATGCACATTGTTTTCTTGTCTTCTGCTAGGCTTTGTACGCCATCTTCTTTTTCTTGGTTACTCCTTGAACGATTTCATTCCACCACCATGTTTCCTTATGGAGTTGTGGCCTTTCTTTGGTGCTTCTAGTAAATTAATTGCCATCTGGATGTTGTTCTTAAGATGCATTCGGCAATCTTCTGGTTTGTTCCCCTTCTCAGAGAGGGTCGGCTTTGTTGCTGTCTTGATTTTTGAGTTGTTCTTCAGCTTCCACCATTTGATTTGATGCTCACCATACCTTCCTTCATTGTTTTCCTTCCCTTACTGATCAGCGCCCTGTGCCAAGATACGCAGTCTTCTAAGTCGATGACTTTGCTGTTCCTTACATACTTGAGCTCACGCTGTCGCAGCATCCAAAAGTCGATTTGCGAGGGTCTCCACTGGTATACGTGATGATGTGATCGGTCTTCTTATCAAATTATGCGTAAAGCCAAGTCATGAGCGTAGCAAACTCCAGAATACCTTCTCTTTGTACCTTCGACATCCATTATTACCACGACATTTCTGAAGATCAAATCGCCATTTTCCTACGTGTCCGTCGAGGTCTACGTTGGCAGCATCTCCTCATCTGGTAGCGAGCTGGTGTAGTCGTTGGGATGGTGCCAAAATTCTTCTTTCTTAGCTTTTCCATATTCAGCGAGGTGCGTATGCTGCACTAGGCGAAGCTTCCTCTTTTCATTATCTATTCCTACGCTCATAAGACGGTCGCTTACACACCCATGTCAGTTACATTCACTGCTTTGGAAAACTAAGCCGACACCAATTCTGCTGTTACTCGTTACCTGATACAGATGCTTGAAGCTATTACCTATGTCCCTGGCCTTTACTCCTTTTTGAATGCATGCGAAATCCACCATATGCCTTCTGAAAGTCTGTCACTTTGCGATGGTGTGCTATGATTCCTGTATAAGCGGCCCACGTGGGAGTTGCTAGACATGCTTTTCCTAAGAAGTTTTTGCCTTGTGTTTGAAGAGCTAATTTCTTTAGCCGTTCTCACCACACTGTTGAGACTGTAATCTTAGCCCAATGTTCGCAAGGCTCAAATGCGGATTGCCTGCGTAGAACGCCATCTCTCAAACTCGAAGATTGCAATGAAACATAAAAGAGCATCTTAATGCGACAACTTATCTTTCTTAGCCAGATTGTCGCTTGCTTCCTTTGTATAAGCGGCCTGAAGTTGGACTTGGCAGAACCATGTATTGAGTTGATTCAAAAGTAATGAGAACTTTTCGCGCACGCTTTCGAACTTTCAACAAATTGTAATAGTGATAGAAGAGTACCCTAAACTGTATCAAACGTAGCTTTTCTTTCTCTTTTCAGCAGCCTGGCCAACTGCCCACTTGACTTCTTATTAGTCGAAAAAATCTCCCAGATTTTGAATCTGTCATTTTTGCTCTGAGTGGGTTTAGCTAATCCTCAGAACTTTTAGTTGAGGGTCTCAAACAAATTGATTATCTAAAGAGAGAGCAGGTCCTGCTTAATGCAAACCCCTCTTAAGTCTTTCGAAACTAGCATTTTGAGGCTTTTTGAAATCATTTTTTCAACAGCCCTGAAATTTTAAAAAATCGCTCAGAACAAAAATGCATAAATTCTCAAAATCTTTCGAAATTGGGAGCTTCAGAAGCAGTTTACTACCAAACCTTGCTTTTGCAAAGTATTCAAGCGCTTACCGTTTCAGATTACCATAATCTATAATATTTTGCCACGTCTGAAAAAACCATAGAATTTGAACGGCAAACGCTTTTTAAAATTTCTGCAAATATTTCATCAACTGCGAAGTGACTTGGTTGGAAATTATGACTGCCCGTATCGGATACCGTTTGGAGCAGTTGCCTGTTTACATCTACCTAATTTGAGAATAGGTTCAAGAGGAGCGAAGTTTTCATTACTTATGACATCCTAGTAACAATTCATAAACCATCCACAAGTTTTTTCGCGTCAAAGCAGGGAGTTTTTGGTCATACTTTTATCATAATGTGATAGTACGAAGAAGTTAGGCAAACTATAGCCAGCGTTGATCACTATCCACAAGAGGAAGAATATAAATTATGTATCTTCGAATTCGTGAATTAACCAATTCTAGGGAAGTTTTCCATACACTGAGTAATCGCTCCGGAACTGTGCTGGACGAGCAATCTGCTCATGCATTTGAGCATCGAGACATCGATCTCATAGGAGGCTGTCGAGCTGCTGAATGCATCCTCGGTAAGTACGTTGAGCTAAGTAATCAATTTGTGTATATAACTTGCAGGAAGCCTCTCCGAAGTGATGTTCACAGCAATTGTTGAGTATTCGCTCATAGCCGCTGCGGTGATGTACATCGTTTGGCGAAATATTGGAAGAGCAGGACATGGTTCTGAATATGTAAAGCGAAAACATCGTATTAGAGTGGATTGCTCGAAAACCACAACAGGCAAGTACTCTTGATTAGGGGACCTCCATCACCGATGAGCTTCTAGGACTATTTCTTGGACTTGCTTTTCTTGCTGCAACATTCACTTCTATGATAGTGTACTACGGCTATTCCATTCTCGGTAAAAGCAAAAATGCTGCATATGTCTACGCACTCTCCGATATAGCACAGGTGAGCAGCGCTTATGAAATGCGTTAGAAGAGATTCTTGAAAAAAGTATAATCTCCAAATCATGCGCAAAGTCCATCTCAAGTATCATGCAATTTGTAAAAAATCCTTTGCTTACTTCTCGCTAGCGTTGAGGCCATCTCCCATACAATGCTGCTCACAGAAGGTACAAAATGTTCAGACATGTCGCAGTCTCTGCTAATCAGGGCGTTCTAATGTATCGCGATACTGTAATCTGCCTGCATATGGTAGGCAGACAATGACTCAATTTTTAGAAAAACTTCTGCGAAGGCAAGGTTCGATTTTGATTATCACAGTAGTATTCATCTGAGGCGATGCTGACATAGGGTAAAGCTACTGTAGGTATACGATAGGACGATAGTGCCCGGACTTTCTTGAGCTTGCATAAAGACCCGCCTATACTTCATTCTCTCCTGTGACATCTCGATGTCACAGTAACGCTAAAAGCAGCAACAACATTTTACGTTTAAAAAAACTTTTACATTTATAGTACATCATCGCAACAATAGGATGTGCAATGGCTCTATACCAAATGAAAACACTTATATATGTCAACAAGCGTCAAAATCACATCTCCAAGGACCAGGTACCATCTTTAATAGTATCTTTATGCGTTAGGACAAGCGAAGCTTGCAAAGCTACCCACCGAAAATTGTTATTTCAGGTAGGCACACGCGTATAAGTAGTTTTGCTAGCCTGAATTGTCGTTTTCTGTAACGACTAGTCTGTTCGGTAATGCATGAAATATATAAGTCTGCCATTTGTCGTAGAGGATGTTTCGGTATGATAACTGCGGTAAAGAAATTATTGTTTCAAACGAGATATAAGCAGTATCATACTTCATATGGTTCCAAGACATTTACAAGTGCCGCGTTATGCATTTTTATCTTGTTTTTGCCATAGCAAGACACGAGCAGTAATACTTTTTGCGATGCTAGCAATTATTCAAGTGTTAGATTGATCCAAGCGACCACAACTTCTCGAGTAGTTGAGTAACGGTATTAGTAGATTATTTAGGGTGGGAAACAACAATGACTTATATTGGGGTTGAAGGCAGCGAGACGTCCGAATCTGCCAGCTATTTTTGATATGTGCTGAAGCATCAATGAACGAGTTGATTGTAATGACAGTGGTCAATCGGTTGAAGATTATGGTAGTGTCCGCAGCTAGCTCATTCAGTAGATGCCTGGGCGAACAGCTATCAAACGCAGGAAAAGTTGTTTATGCTTTCAGCGCAAACCTCTTCGAGGGAGAAATAACGCGAAGTCGCATGATAATGTGGTTGGACTGCAGGAAACTTGTGTTGACTTAATTTGATCTATGTATTTCAGGAGCTCTTGGACCAGATTTTACTTTGGGTTGGGCTCGTTGGTGAACTTATTTACTCAGTGGCAGGAATTGTTGGACTGACTGGCGACGGACCATGGGAGCCACTTGTTTTTATTCTATTTTTTGTACATATCGTCAGACTAATACAGGTGTGCTATCATGACAGCAACACACATGAGTTAATCTGATCTAATGTTCATGTAAATAATGTGAAAATTTCAGGTCGGTTCGCAAACGTTTCTTATTTATTTGGCGTCGAAGGTTAAAGTTGGCGACTCAAGCAAAGAAAGGCAACCAGGGAAGCAAGCAATCACTTTTCTCCTGGCCGCGAATCTTTCAATATTCTTTATGAACCTATTTGAAAGCGAGAAGCCCGGAGTTTCCGAAAACATTATAGGTTCATTTAATTACCAACGTTTGTAGTTGAATTACTAAACTCATTTTAGATTTCTATGGAAAACGATCGTGGGTATTTCTGGTGCGCAGCTTCTCGCCGCTCACCATATTTTACAGATTTCATAGTTCTGTGTGCCTCGCCGAGATTTGGAAGAACGTTTACGCAAATAAGTAGAACATTTGACAATATAAAAACATTCAATGAACTTTACCGCCTTCCAACATGTGAGAAATGTACAGCAGTTTCTTGTGTTCATCCGAAGTAATGGATTAGCTCCTCAATTCTGAAAACACTTAAAGGCAGCGTCCGGGTAAAACGAGAATTTAGAGTACAGAGCGCCCGTCCTGGTAAGGCTCTTGCCCATCTGGCAATGCACCAATTTGCTTCTGGAGCGTGAAAACCGCTTCAGAAGTGGCTATCGGAACGCCCTGGCGACCGGGGACGAGTTAGTTTGATAAGCCGCAGTGCGCATACTGCACACGGTCAAGACGTAGGGTCCCACAAAGACTTTGCGTCTTTAACCTTAGCGGCAGGCGACAAAATTTAAATTAAAAGCTTCTGGAAAAGCCCATTTTCAACGTTTTCGTGCTCTTCCAGCTGCATTTTCGGAATTAGCGTGAAGGATAAGCCCAGGTAAGCGAAAAGAATTTCTATACGAAATCTTGCCCGGACGCTGCCTTTGATCTCCTTTAGGATACAGCGCGTTTTCCACGCTGCTCAAAACTGAAGTTCAAAGGAAAGTAGAGAATAGCATAGGAATGAAACTGAAATATCTCAGTGTGACTGATATAGACTAGCATATCAATATTGCGCAGTCAAATCTTTATTTTCGACAACGATTCTGAACATTTGAGGCTACCTCGACTATACCAAAAAATAAAGTGCATGCAGCTATCTACTAAGGAGTGACCATTAATGACTGTAATATCCACGAAGCTTCCAAGCATGTGAACAAATAAGAGAAATGACAAAGCTGTGTGATCATGTGGCGTCCATTCGCTCAGGGACGTCTCTTGCTGAATTTGGTAGTTTTAACAATGCATTCTTGCATTTTTTGGCTCACATGATGTCCTAGTCTTCTTCCGACTAAAGAAAGATGAGTGGAAGTTGTTGAAATTAGCGATCATATATTTACGTATCCGCTCCCCTCATCATGATGAATGCTAAGATCGTGTTGTTGGAGAACCGTTGTCATCATCTGCGAACATTACGGCAATCTCGCTTCGGCCGCAATGTTGTAACCGCAAAGATTTAAGCTGGTATATGGCTGTAGCTGGTATAGCTATCTATTCTCATCTTGGAGGGCGGTAGCCGTTTCAGGCTCTCCTCTCCGCTCTGTCAATGTCACCCATCATTCTGAATGATGCAGCATATCCATTATGAGCATGGAGCCAATCAGTCAGAGGCACCGTGACTGGACGCTCGTATCCGTTCGAATACTGATGTCAGCCGCAGCATCATCCGTGTCAAGTTCGCACGGCTACCAAGCTGCGGCCGTGTTCCGAAGGTGCAAAAGTTTCTCACTCTTTCATTCGACCTGACTCTTCGGCATCTGCTCGAATACATCGTAGGACAATCTTGAATTTATGATGGAGCAGACCGGTTGTGTACATAATGCCACTCTCACTGTGCTCTCAACCTAATTCGCCATTGGTCATGCCCTGTATATATTTGCGTGAATCCGGTAACGATAATGTTCACCAACGCGAGGTGAACATTATCGTTACCGGATTGTAACATTCATTCCTAACATTCGCTCGCGTAATAACGCTCTATCTATGACTTCAACGGGTGCAGAGGTAGAGCAACCTCTGCACCCGTTGAAGTCATAGATAGAGCGTTATTACGCGAGCGAATGTTACGAAAGTTTTGTCGGTTAGCCTGTCGCTTTATAGGAACAAAGGAAGTCAGAAAATTGGCAAGACCCCAGCTGATTTTTTGAGGATTTGTCTTGTCCTAGATATGGTGGGATAAGAAAAGCGGAACCTAGGTCCCCTGACAGCCAACTTAAATGTAATTTTCGATGTCATGAGTAATGATGATGATTAGCACATTTGCAGAGCGCATTCTAGGCCCCGCTCCCATCCAGATACCTCTCTCACCTTAGCACAGATAGACCAGAGACGCGCTTTATAATTATGAGACGAGGATTCAAGAAAAATTGAAATCAAAAGTTCAGTAGTGGAAGTTCGCCAATCAAAGTGAAAACTAGGATTTAGGGGTTTTCAAGTATGCTCTTTTGAAATATAAGAATCATATGTGCCACGGAGCCCGCCAGGGGTCTCTTATTGGTTATGAATCGTGAACTTCATACAAATAACAATTAGAAATTCAGCATGAAAATTTCAAACAAACCGTAAATATGGATTCGGGGATTTTCAGGAGCGCTCTTCCCGGATATGTAGAGAACTTTTCTAAAAAAAATTTTTCAAATTCAAAACTTCAATCAATTCAAAACCACACAAACAGTTTCTTATGCAATACATTCAGAACAGAAGCACATTGTTTGGGTCAAACAAGCTCAGGCAAGTCCATAGGATGTAACTGTAGATTGTTGCTTCCAATTCTTTCATCGATTAGTGTGTGAGGCCCATATAATTCATATAAATATCTCATCTCTACATATCTAAATATCTAATGGTTTCTGCATGACGAAGGCGCAGAAGCCGTTTCAGCTGAGCGGGCGCGAATACGGTGCGCGCGTATCTTCACCGTTGTAAATCCTGCGCCTCAGCGCTCTGCGGCTAAAAAAGCCGCGTTAGAGCCTAAAAATATTGCGCCTTCTCATGCAGCAGCCTATATATGTTCATTCGTGGATGCAAATGTGATTAGATGTCTCCTCCGACATGAATTTTCATCTAGCTGCAATAAGAAAAATTCGCTGGAAAGATATAATTGTTTGAACTTATCCATCGCCTAGTCGATCTTCTGGCGTCGCTCTTGGTCCTTAATTTTGTATGCACTAGCATCCTGAGAAAACCGATAATTAGTAAATGTGCACAAGAAGCAGTCTTTTGTCGACTATCTCACCTCGCTCACATTGTAGAGAGTTCCAAATGGATTCCATTAGATCAATTCATACAGGGCATTCCAAAAGCTCTTCGAATGGAGGGTTGATCCGCCTTGAAAACATTGCTCGTAATTTACTAACAAGGGGAGCGTGTGTCGGGACGCACCTCAGCTCAGCTCAAACAGCTGCTCTCCCGGGGGCTGGCCACGGAAGCCAGTCAGGATTAGTGACCCCCTAAGACCGTGCACCGTAAGGCTGCTTCTGCAGTCTCTCCCCTCGTCCCTTATTGTAACATCATATGTAAATAATAAATATATGTATATATACCTACCTGTACCGCTACACATCAGGTAAGGGGATCGCGAACCCTTAATCCTGACATGGAGGTCCCAGGAAAGATTTCTTTTTTTTTAGAATTCTACAATAATTTTTTTCTCTCCTCAACTTTTGATATGGGAAAAAAATTCTTACCCCCCCCCCCCCTCTCTACAATTCGATCGATCGCTATGGACGTCACCAACGAACAATTGTGTGTGTTTTTTTTTTATGTTGCACAAATATATTAGCTGTGTGAGTGAAATATCTAATCTCTGTGTGAGTCAAATATTTAACCTTTTCAGAAAGAAAAAAAATTATTAAATAAAATAAAATAAAGATTATTTATACAGTCCTGCGAACAGTCCCATTTTGTCAATTTCCTTCTTTCGTAAAGCGCTCCATTTTCCGTGATCCGTGATTCCGTGAATCCGTGAATTCAAAAGGCGCATTTAGCAGCCGTGATTCGTGACCCGTGAATCCGTGATCCGTGATCCATGAATCCGTGAAACCGTGATTCCGTGAATTTTTGTTGACTTTCTTATTTTTCTCTTTTTTTAATATAATTAGACAATGGACTTGTTCGCAATCGCTAGCTTAAAATAAAAAACTGCAGTATCAGACCCAGAAAGATAAATCTGCTGGCCCACTGCAGATAACTTCTGCTGGGAAGTGTCGACCAATCGTAATGCTTCGACCTCTCAGGAAATGTAGCAAAACCCAGTGCTTCTGTCCGCGCGCGGTGACCTCCTTTTGGCGATAAAGCAACGCAGCGGCCCTCGTATGTTGTAGGCATGTGACCTCGCGACAAATTATTGATATCTGCGCGCTATGACCTTACAGCCGCGTTTAGCGCAATGCTCGCGTCTGCTCTGTGTCGCGATAAACCTTAGAACAGGATTATTAATTGCGTAACCTAATCCTTTAGGCCCTGCGCAGAGCTCATGCGATTTCGTCGCGTCGCGCCCTATCATTTTGGACAAGTGTTCCATGCCCCGCTGTGTAGTGTGTGGGTCCCGACGCGTTTGTGATGGCTACGCGGCGCGACGGATCGCGCCACACTTTTCGGCATTCATAGCTCACCTAGCGATATCGTCGCGATTTTGTCGAATCGGCGCGATATCGCGTCGCTCGTTTGCGGCGAGCGACGGGGCGACCGTCGCGCCGATCCTGAACTGCTTTTTCGATGTTTTTGTAGTAAGTTGCTGTTTTTTGCATGTTATGAGTGTTTTTGCATGAATTGTTGCAAATGCCGTTATGCCTATCCTTTCTTTGTTTGATGAGGGCAGTTAGTCCCATTTTGCATTTTTTCCTGTCTGCATAGGCTGCCAAAGAGATCTGTAACAAGCCCTACCCCCTGTACGATTGCGCATCGAATACTTGAAAAATGTGCTCACAGTCTACGTAACTCCGAAATATGAGCTTTGCATGAGATAATAACAGTATTTTTGTCTATCATGTGCAGCAAATGGGGGGCGCATCTAGAGCTGAAAACATCGTTTTGCCGCGTAACGGTTCCTTCGCAGTGTCCGCAGCCACTGGGCCTCCCTGGTACTTCCTTCCTACTGTAATTAATGCTTCCCAACATTCATATGATTATGAGCCTTTTACCAGAACCACGATGTCGTTGACTTCTCCTTTTATCGTTGATCATCTGGGTGCATGACGTTGTGATTGTTATCAAGTCGGATTCTAGTGTGATAAACTTCCAAACTTCCTTTGTGCTGCTACACCATTTTGAATAACAATGATGTAGTAAAGTTAAGAGCACTGGTTTTCACTAATGAATTAGAGTACGTGCAATATGTGAAGTGTTGTGCAATTGCATGAAATCGCGTCGGAGGTATGCACGCCTCCGGCGACTGAGCGGGCCTTACGATCGAGACGCGCGACTAACAACAACAGTTGTGCATAATCTGACCCGATAGAGTTTATCTTACGCAACTTATATTATCGTAATTTTACTCTCTGTCGACAACAAAACATGACAAATTCAAAACTTTATGAACACATAGAAAACATACATATATCATTAGTTTGGCAAGGTAATTAATTTTGCATAAATACCCTCCGACCTTCTTGCATTATCGTTGTAATCCTTTCCGTATCATCAAAGTTGATGAAGCGGATACTTCGAGTCCTATCTAGACTCCTTTCCAGCATGACCGAGAACCGAGCCAGCAGTGGAATTCTTCCGCAGGTGTTCGTTATCGTTAGATGACCAAATCCGATGGAAAGGCCCTCATGATCGCCCTTCCACACATTGTCCTCGCAGTCTCGAATGAAACTGAAGGGTCGGCCATCCGATGTCCCCATGACACCTGAAAGAATCGTAACTACCTTACACATTCTAATGATTACTAGACCAAGCTAACCGCTTATATGCGTGTCATCGGACAACAACAAAGTGAGCGTAGCTCGCCCATCTCCTTGTACATCAATGTACGAGCTATTAACACTTCTCCTAGAGAGGCTTGCCATCATGACGTCCTCTTCCATGTCATGAAGGACCACATTATGTGGCTGTTCATTATAGCCTCGTTTGATTGGAAGATTGCGCCTGGCCTTATAAAGATCCAGCACCAATCTTTCCACTTCCTAAAGATAAGTTTATACATACATTTAAGGAATTTCTTTGAGCATAACATATGTAGTAAAAAAAAGTAATACTCACATCAATTTTCTTTGCAATTGACGCTTCCTGTGCGTCCACTCTCCTATCGTAACGCGCCAGCACCGCCTTATGGTGTGCCTTAGCGTTTTCATGCTGCCTCTGCTGAACCCGGAGTTGTTCGTGCAGCCGGTTGGAGCAGTTTTGCTGCATACCCAAAGCCACGCTCAACTCCCTGTTCTCAACCCTCTGACATCCTAGTTTCGTCTCCAAGTCATCAATCATTTTCAGTAGCTCCGAATTTCTTGTCGAGTATTCATCAAAATACGCATCAAACACCTGGAAAACAATTGAAATGTTTCTTACAATCTTATAGCATAATAAAATGAAAGCAAAACTTACATCGTCAAATTCAGAATCAGTACTTTCTGGTCCGTCAACGTAGCTTGACATGATATGAGCGGGAAGTTTGTTTGTTTTTACTGTAAGAGCTAACTTCAACTTCTTTGCAATTGAGAAAATGATGATAGCAAAATTATGGAGCAATTAAGGAGCGACCACTGCCTGAGCAATGCTAATAAGCGAATGGCAGGTATAATATGCATATCCTTACATCCTGCCGAAACTTTTATCCATGCCGAAACTTTCCTAATCTTATGCGCACGCCCAAAATTGCGCAACGACGTTCATATACCTTTATATGAATCCAAATAACTAAAAAAAAATATACACAATAGCAAAATATAGGATATCGCAATTATTACACTTTTCTACCCCCCCCCCCCCCCCAAAAATCGGCCCTTAACCCTAGCTCCACCTATTTATTGTAATATTAGCCGACCCGCCTTCGAACGCTATTCTTGGATCATTCCATACATTGGTGTCCACACCAATCGGTCGTCTCCAAGCTTCTTCTATAGCTTCCTCCAAAGCTTCTTCAGCTTCAGGTCTCCTACAGTGCACTTACCGTATCTCTCATTGCCCGCCGCCGTCGTTAGCCTGCAACCAGCCGACTAACCTCTCTAACGAACTATCTCGCTCACCGCTCAACCATCAAGCCTCTCCATTGGAACTAGCCTATCTCAACCGCAACCTGTGAAGCAACGATTAGGATACAGGTGCGATCCATATACACTTATACAATATATAATAACACAAGTATAGCATAACATTTACGTCTAACCATCCGCTCGGTTGCCCTAATTTCAAAAAAAAACCTTTTGTACGGAAATATCTGTACTTTGAAAAAAAAATTTATTTTCTCAAACAATTCTTTTTTCATTACTTCCATTCGTGTCGATAGTGGTCCTCATTTGTCGGATACCCGACGAATTTGCGGTTGCCTTCACGTTTAGTCGATTGAGCTTCGAAAAAAAATTTTTTTTTGTTGAAAAAAAATATTTTTTTTTGGAAATCATTATCATTGAAAGTGTTGCTGTTACATGAACAGTTCTGATACTGAACTTAGTTCTTGTGCGTCTCCAAAACCTTGCAATACAACCGAGCGTGGGACTATTAAAAGAAGACCAAGATCTCATTCGCGTATATCGCATAAAGTTCATAGAGTAAGGTGTAGTAAATATAAATCAAGTAGTCCTGTCAAACGTCGCGCAGCTTCTCCACCTATTGAAGCCTCTTCAGTAGCTCCTACCGAAGCTTCTTCGATAGTTTCTCTAGATTCTTCATCTCTTCGTTCATCACCAAAAGCAGGGAATTCTCGAGTCTCTACTCCTCCCATAGAACTTTCGCAAACTTTGGTAACTCAAGAGGAAACTCCAATTCTTGCAACTCAAGAGCCCGCTCAACTTTTGATTCCCGTAACTCAAAATCAACCTCAGGTTTTCGTATCTCAAAAAGAGGAATTTTTCATTCCTATAACCCAAGAGCAAGCTCAAGCACTAACCTCTCAACAACAGTCCTAATTTCGTTCAACAACAGGTTCTTTCGCCGATAGTACCTCAACAAATTTTGTTACCACAGCAAATTGCTAACAATCTTCGACACATTTCGCCATCCGTAAGTGTTTGCTCAAATCAGACCATAACGCAAAATATGGATCATACTCCAATGCCTCAAAATCAACATTCCGAAGCAGTAACCTTCATAGATCGTTTAGATACGGTTTTTGATAACTAACTCTCTCCTCATATAGTAGCAAATTACCAACATTTTCCGGAGATCAAGGACCTAAAGGTCTCATGCAATTTATCACGCAATTTGAAGAAATTTCTTCGATAATGGGTTTAACAAGCAATAAAATGGTTCGCTTACTTCCAGCACATTTGAAAAAAAACAAACAAAAACTCAAATTACTGGGTCCACTTCCAACTGACCATGAAACACTTATTGAAGAATCCGAACGTATTCACGGTCTGATTCAGTCGGATACTTCATCTTTTGCAAGTGATACTATTCTAGCCAAAATGGATAGAATGTTAAATAACATTGAAATACCCAGAACATCTGTTAACATGGTTCATAGACCATACCGTGGAAAAAGATGGAACAACCATCCATACTCGCAAAATCCTACACGTCAACATCTAGCAGTTATGAGCGCGCTCGTTCTCCAAATTCATTTTTTGGAAATTCTCCATATCCGCAAAGACGCAATGTTAGATTTGCTCCACTTCCATCAGACCGTTCTGATAAAGCTCGCAGTAGATCGCCATACCATCACAACAATCACCAAATCACCGCCAACAATCGCCGCATCGACGTCAACAGTCGTGATTTAGAACATCTCCAAATTTTTCCAATAACAGGCCAAGAAGACAATCACCTCACTTTTCGAGTAATAGACAAAATCAAAATAATCATAACCAAACTCGTAATCAACGCCAAAGGCCAGTAAATTCAGTTTCAGCAGACCTTTCCACTGGACTTCTACTTAATAGTTCATACTCACTTTTTGTTGTAGCACTATTTTCATTGTTTTTACCTAATACTTCTGCACTTTCATTACAAACTTATCAACTTTGCTCTGCGGGAGAATCTGGTTGGCCTGTCGCGTATCCAGAAACAACATCGTGTTCACACTCTCCAAATTCTACAAACATTTTGGTAACTACAGCGCAAATCTATGTAGAACGCACTGAACCTTATCTTCTACCTGCGTTCCATTGCTTTAATAAGACTAGGAAAATATGTGCGTCGTCTTATTTTCACATATCTTTCTCTGTAAACAGTGACGACGAGTACATGTCTCCTGTAGATTTTGCACTGTGTGAGTCGCTTAGCGAAACAAAGAAATTTTTGGGCATACCTATGCAAAAGCTATCAAATAATGTTTACGGCTCGGTAAACGCCATACATTATTCGTATCTTTGGTTTTTCGGTGAAAAATGTACGCTCACAACAAACGTGTACATAGAACAAGCTGATATTGCTACTTTTGACGGCAAAACAATCATCAGTCAATTTGGTGATATGGCTCAATGTCGCATTGAAGATAAACAATGTAAGATGTCGCATGGCACAGTAATCTGGGATTTCGGAGAACAAGATCCTTTCGCTTGTTAGTATGTAAAAGCGACGCGGAATTGCTTATGTTACTCCAACTCATATAGTTGTTGATAACATACAATCTGCTTTCACATACAGTAACATAACATTAACTTCTACTCAAATTTCAAGTTGGTGTTTGCCCATGAGGTGAAGGTCGTGTTTGGTTCCACTCCGCCTAAACCAACTCCTCTACTCAATCACTCTGAAGATAATGGTACCGTAATCGAAGTTCTCTATGGTCTCGCCGTAACACGTGCACTCTTTACACACGTAACTCGGAAGACATTCAACAACCATCAAATAAGCTCGAGGACGAGCTTTCTAAAGGAATGGAGATGTCGGGACGCAGCTCAGCTCAGTTCAAACAGCTGCTCTCAAGGGGGCTGGCCACGGAAGCCAGTCAGGATTAGTGACCCCCCTACGACCGTGCACCGTAAGGCTGCTTCTGCAGTCTCTCCCCTCGTCCCTTATTGTGACATAATATGTAAACAGTAAATATATGTATATATACCTACCTGGACCGCTACACATCAGGTAAGGGGATCGCGAACCCTTAATCCTGACACGTGTCTGCTCGAAGTGGCCTTTCCAGTTGAGTTTTACATCATTTTAAAGAGCACTAAACGCTGATTTCAAATATGCTTTTATTATCTGCCAAGCGCTTTTGGACGCCAAGTTATGAGTCTTTTTGGAGCAAAAATTGAACGCAAAATCTATGAAAAACAATGGTTACAATTTTTCTGCCCTCTGCTAAAGCAGTGATGAGTGCTAGGGTATTAAATAGAAGGTATTCAATACATGAAGTGCTTTGATAATTATCATCCGGCCGTTTGAGCAATTCTGGGCGATTTTGTCTCAGTTGCGCATTCAATTTTTCGACATAAAGTTCATAACTCGGCTTCCAAAGGAGCTTGGCAGATAAAGAAGACGGATTCAGACCCACCGTTTAATGCTCTACAAAGTGATATAGGTAACTCTGAAAAGGCCACTTCGACTATACACGCTTCCCTTGTAAGATAAAATATAGCATTAAGTGTTTGAAAACGTTGAATTTTTAACTGTGAAATGCCTCTGCAGTGTTCGTTGTTCGATAATCCCGCAGGTGCCATTTACACCACACCCATTTATACCTTGGGCAGTGCCGTTGGGATAAATATTATTCAAATGATCAAGGAAATCTTTACATGGTTCATGCGCTATGTGTTCTCACTTACCGACCTTACCGGCAAGAATATAAGAGCTGCTATCCTGGTAAAAAGTTCTTCATGCAAAATTCTTATCCCTTTCAGAATTTTCCGCCATTTCCTTGCTGCCAAAATTGTTTTAGGACCATCACAAATTTGCTCACACCCAGACAGATATCCTATTTTCACAAACGTCCTGTTCCACGCTTGTGCCAAATGGAAGGCGCATCCCTGCACATCGGCTTCTGAAAACTTTCCTTACCTGCTCGTATTGCTGCCTACAAGTTTGCGTGATAAAGTGGCGCGAGAAAAAAAAGAGCGCACCTTTTCGAAATCCAATATGGATCTGTCGCTGTACTCTCCCAGTGTCTCTCGGAGTTCTTCGAAGATCCTCTTATAAATCTTCACAGTTTTGTAGCGGCGTAGAGAATTGGGACCTGAAACGGTTACTTCTCAATTCCAAAAAAGTGTCTTTGAAAAAATTTGAAATCGAAACTCTAAAACCATGGTCACCTCTATGCCGCCTTTAATAGTGTGGAGAACATGTAATCGTCCCTGTCCATCCGTCGGAGTTGTGACAGGATCTAGATTATGAACGCCGTCTCCAATAAGCCACACATCCCGTTGTCGCGCGCCATTTTTAGTCATATTTCATGAAATTAATCGATTTTCAAAATAAATTTGCTAATTTCATCATTATCTGCGCAAAAGTACAAATGCAAATCATCCTTCTGGAGCTGCAGGAAGGGATCCCTCCAGGAAAGGTGGCTAAGGTCTTTCGATACATGGCCTGGATCGACGATCTTCTTTTAAGCATTTGTCGCCCTTAAAGGCAGAGGATCGGCAAAATCCAACAACTCGGGATTTCAACGCGGTGGGTTCCTTACCGCCCAACTATAAAAACAGTGCAATCTCGGTTACACAGCATGCTTTCCCTGCCGAGAAAATCGCTCTCAAACTTACACGCGCAGGCCAATCTTACACGCAACTGGACAAGTTGGCAATTTCCTTCTCATACTTTCCCTGGAGAAAATCGCTCTCAAACTTACACGCGCAGGCCAATCTTACACGCATCTGGACGAGTTGGCAATTTCCTTCTCACCATTGGAGGCTGCCCGCCACAACGCTATAACCATTGGGTCCTACGACGATTTAGCGTCATCGGCCTTGCTCCACTCGTCCAATATCAAAGGGAAAGGCATTGAAAAACCCTCATTTTCTCCGTTTTCAAGCTTTCAAAAGTGGATTTTCGGGATCAGCGTATTGAAAAACTCCAGGTACAGTCGCTTCATTTCATATGATCATGTGTGTCATTGCACAAACAGTTCACCTTTGGCGTCCCCATCCTGGATTCGTGGGAGAAACAAGCCTTCAGGTAAGAGTTTCCAAGGTGTTCTTAGCATTTTCTTTCCTTTTTAGTTACTAGTCACCTCAAATTGATGTAATCAATAACAATCGGTAAATCTCTTGCGTTTTTGCGATTGCAAGTCCAGGATGAGGACGCCAAAGTGGACTGTGTGTGCAATGGCACACATGATCATATGAAATGAAGCGACTGTAAGCGCAAATTTGACTAGGTTGAGAATTGCCGAGCCACTGCCTTTAAGGTCCCTATTGAATCACTGCGTTAAAAAGCATATATACAAAAATTTCGAAGCTCACCACACCTCCTCTCTGTGATTAGCCTCTTCCGTAGAATTTACCTAGCGCTTTCGGTTCTATTAAAATGTTTGAGGTTCGTAAAAAACTCACCTTTCCACTCTGTGGGAATAAACTGTGCAGCATCCGTATAGTGACGATATCGTTCTATAGGCCTATTTATCTTTGCGTAACTTTTGACAGGCCGGAAAATGTATTGCTTCAAAATGATTTGTTGAACGCCCGATTGCTTTATCACTGTAGCGATTAATGGCCTATAAGGATGATGTTCATAGAGTTTGACATTCAACTGCTGGTATTGAGAAAGCAATACACATAAAGAGTGCCTGAAGCAGCTTTGAAGAGATTACTCGAAGAGTGGCGGGAAAACACATCCAACAGTCGTTTCCCTCGCTTCTTCACCTGCCACAGCTTGGCTCTTTCGGCTCTCGAAAAGTGGAATCAGTTGTCATCCTGAAGGCAATGACCGGGCAAAAACACGATTTTTGGAAAATCTACTTACCGGGGGTTATCCGTAAGGGACCCGTCATACTTCGCCGAAAAAAGCCCAAAGAAGCCCGAAAAAGCCCGAAAAAGCCCAAAAAAGCCCGAAAAAGCCCAAAAAAGCCCAAAAAAGCCCGAAAAAGCCCAAAAAAGCCCAAAAAAGCCCAAAAGCGCCAGAAAGAGCCGGAACACTTCTCGCACGTTTTGGCGCTAAAGCATGTGTGTTGACTTCGCAATCGAGCCTTTTTGTCATTTTCTGTCGTCCGCATGATAAGATAATGTCAGAATTCTACCAAAAGTTCGTTTCTACATTCCGGCTCTTTCTGGCGCTTTCGGGCTTTTTTGGGCTTTTTCGGGCTTTTTTGAGCTTTTTTGGGCTTTTTTGGGCTTTTTCGGGCTTTTTTGGGCTTTTTCGGGCTTTTTTGGGCTTTTTTGGGCGCTTTTGGGCTTTTTTCGGCGAAGTATGACGGGTCCCTAACACTGAATCCGAAAATTCAAATTAGAAGGCGCGAAAACGACGAGAACATGCGTTTTCCAAAGCCTTACACTTTGAATTTCGACGGTCCCCGCCATGGCAGACGCAGTGTCGCTGCGGGACCCTAGATTTTAACCGTGGCGGCATGCGCACTCTGCCGCATAGCAGGAATTCGAATAAGTCGGAGGACCCCGCCCCAAGGCGTAAGTTCCCCCACTTCCCGATAGCTTTTCTTGCTTTATGTCGGACGTTATAATCTCGTACTTTCGCAGTGTTGTGTCTGAGGGGGGCCACTTTCGCATGGTAGTGAAATCCCAAAATCCTCACCTTGCCCGGACACTGCCTTCAAGATATCCGCTGAATCATTTTGGATGTATGGTAGAGCAGGCCGGTTGCGGTAGAGCACGACACTGACAGCCCTCAGTTTGGAGGTAGTTTCCGGGCAGAATTTGAACAATAATTTTTCGCTTACCTGGACTCATCCTTCGCGTTGATTTCGAAAATGCAGCTTGCAAATACGAAAACGTCGAGGACGAGCTCTTTCAAAAGCCGTTGATTTTGAATTTGGACGACGCCTGCCGCCGAGGTTGAGACGCAGAGTCGTGGTGGAACCCTACGTCTTGCCTATGTGAAACATACGTAGTCTGGCTATGGACTGATAGGCAGGCAAGTCGCGACCTTTTGGTCGCCACTTCTAAAGTAGAGCAAATCGGTACGCTTGGACGAGAGCTTTATCAAGACGGGCACCATTGTATGGTGCACAATTCATATCTGCCCGGATGCTGCCTTTAATTTTCCACAAGTGGTGTCATGCTCTATCGCAAGGGGCCTGCTTCAATTCAAATTCATCGCCATGTGTCGAACAGCGTCGTCATGAGGGTAGCAGGAAATTAGGAGTGGATGATAAATAGTTCTTGACTGCTCGACATGAGGCAAAATTACCACCTCTTTGGAGCGCGGAATTTGAATCTTCCCGCCATCAGTTTTTGGGCGATCATAAAGGAAGTGCGATCGCCACAAAACCTTGACGTAGTGGCGTGCTATTACCTTTTCCTGCACGTTCTTCTTTTTGTGTGCCCTCTTTTTCATGATGATGTCACTCATTTTCTATCAGAAGGGAAATATTTGAAGGCTAAAAAGTTTAGGAGTAATTGCGGAGTCCGACTCCTTTTGCGCTTAAGTTGGCTACATTTTACTATATATGAGTGAGGAGAAGTAACTCGTTCCTTCAAAATGTTGCATACGACGGTTGGGCCCATGTTGGGGGAATCTGTCTTTTGCCCCTTGGAAAGGACATTGCTACGTCTTTCTGCTACTTGCTTGTCGTTGATTGTCTCTCACAATACATATGAGCGGCTCCTCAACTTCGACGAGGCGGAACTGCGCTAGCGGCTCTTGCGTTGCGGTTACCCTGTGCTGAGGCCTACCTGATCCATTGATCTTTGTTGATCATCACGGATCCGCCTTGCCAAAGTTGGGGAGTCGACAATACATTTCTTGCACATACGCTCTGTTCGGCTGGTTAGAAACTCAAGCATATGTGACTGCTTTGTTTGACTCGCACATAATAGAGAGTACATGTGGCGTGATGGCGAGCACTGTACACATGCTAGTTTTTCCTTTCGCAGTTCCTTCTTTAGCTCACCACGAGCATTCGTAAATCAAGTCTCACAAGTAATATCACTGCTGAACCACATAAGGGACACAAATCAGCGATTTTGTATGTTCCCAATGTGTCCACGAAACTACGAGAATTTTATAGTGGAACACTTGTGTGTTTTGTCCTTTTTTTCCTGCCGATGAAGCTTTACTTTATTGTGTTTGACCTTTATATCTGGTTCAAATCGTAATATCGTCAATGCTCTATTATCTTTCAGATCTTCAGTGAGAGGAACAAAAGATGACTGCTGAACAGTCGACTGCTGCATCGACGACTACGCCGACTACAAAACGCAAATCGAAAAGATCGTCTATATTCATTACTTCACGAAAAAAGAAGAGGCGTGAAAGTGAGTCAGGAACCATTCTCAGTTGAAGAAATCGCTTAGATTTTTTGGTTCTTTGAACAAGCTTTGATCGGTTATAAGCTTTGTATGGAATTACTCATCACACTCTTTTCCTTCGATGCCAAATCGCGACTGATTGTTTGTAAAGTCAAAAAAGAATTGCTTGCTTGGAATACGGAAATCGTTTTTGTAGAAACAGTATTTCAAGGTAATTTATTCTCATTTTTCCACCAGGTATTATCTCCAAAAAGAGTAGCAAGGTGTGAAACATAAGAAAGAAGTGTGTAATGAAGGGATCTCTCGTTGTTCGGCTGGAAAGTATCAGAAAAGCTCTGTTCATAGCAACACAGCCGCTTCAAACAAATCACCTGAAAAAAAAACAGATTATTCACCGCTTCAGAATAAGGCCCCGGACAGACTTCACGCGATTTGATCGTCGCGACTCAATTGCCGACATTTCCATTCATTTTCATTTCACATTCAAAAATTTCGGGCTGGAAAAGTATCACAACCGAAATGCAAGTTGATCGGCATGGAATGATGTTGTAACAGTTGTCTCGTCGCGTTTCAGTCGCGACGATCAAATCGCGTGAAGTCTGTCCGGGGCCTAACGAGGCTTTCCATCCTTTGGAAAGGCATCAATTTGATGTAAATACGTTTTTTTTCCAAGTGACTCTTTTGTTTCAGAGGAGTATGAAGTGGAGTCGATTGTCTCACACACTGTCGTTGATGGAGTGGTGGTATACAATGTCAGCTGGGTAGGATACCCTGGCGAGATTACTGAATTATTAGAGGAGGATCTTGAGGTAGAGCTAGTGTGCTGTTTGCAGAAATCAAGCAGGTTGCGTATGTGCAAATAAGGATGTCCAACGCAAGTAATTTCAGAACTGTGGTGAATTGTTGCAAGCTTACAAGGACAAGGTGGGTCCATGTCCAGAATTCGAACAAAAGCCTGTAACGTCCAATGGTGCTGACGAAAACACGGACAACAATATACGCAGCGAGTTGGACGATATAATCGATGGTGTGGCAAGCAATTCACTTCCCAAAGCAAAACGAAAGGTATGCTTTCATTTTTCTTTGCATTAGATTTTTTCCACTTTACCATATTCTGATCTATGCCTTTTTCTAACATGAGGAAAATCAGGGGCTAGCTGACAGCGGAAGTCCATTAGGGGTACGCTATAAAGTCTGTACTTTTTTGTCTTCTTAGTCTGTTTTCATACATTGGAATAACGTTTGAGTTTTTGACAATTTTCGTTTTTCATTTCTGTAAAAATGCATTTTGATCTTTTCAAGGAATTTGCAACATTTGTTTCGAATTTGCCTATTTGACCAAGTACTGGCCCATGCGCTTGACGAAGAAGTTTGTTTTACAGTGCAGATATGCGGGTTTCTGCGGTAGGAAGCGAAGTACTGGGGTCCGAAACCAAATAAATCAAAGAAAGTAAGCTTGTGCGTAAGGCACCCGCCATACTTGATCCGCTTAATCTGCTTCATCATTGGTCAATTCAGTGAACTGACCAATAGTGAAGTGGATGAAGTGGATCAAGCGGACAACCGCTTCGCTATTGTTCAGTTCACTGAATCGACCAATGACGAAGCGGATCAAGCGGTAAGCGGATCAAGTATGGCGGATGCCTAAGCAAAACTCTTGCACTTTCCCTCCTTAGGACTGTTCGCTCTATAAAAGGCATTGATGGCTAAATCCGTGGCCATCTATTTCACAACTTGCTCTAAAATTACTGCAGATTTGGGATAGATACTAAAATCAATTTCTCATCTGGCTATTTTTTTGCAGAATGAGGGCGTCGAGACAACAGGTTTTGCTGTTACTTCCAATGAGAAGAAAGTGAATGGCGACGGGGGACATCCTCCTAAGGTGATCGTTTGACTTTATAGCGTTTTGATCCATTCCTCTATCTTTAGCGTAACCGGAAAGCCAAGCAACGGCAAATTGCGCCAGATGCTGACTTGGGCTACAACAACGGTTGCATTGTTGAGGAGTATAAAGGTTTCTCGACTAAGGTACTACTAATCTAATTATCTTTTTTCTCCACAATACTTTTCATTTCTAGTATACTGAACCTGTTGTTCTGGTGACTTATAAGAAACCACTGCCCAGCGGTTTTGAAAACAGGCAAGACGAAATTGTCCCTATTCGAGTTATTGCTGAGAAAGATCCACAGGTAGGTTTCCATTAACTGAGAAGTCAAATCTGGTATGGGGATGGGCTTGATGGATCACTATTTTTTGTGTGTTGTTAATCAGCACTGCAAGAAAAATAACAAGAAGCTAGTTATTCCTTTTTTCTTGACATGTGTATTAGGTATTCAGCACAAGAAAACATAGCTCATTGCATTGCCGGAGGTAAAAAGAGCAATACAAACACATGTTTCAGAGGCTGATTTCGCATCTGGTTGAACTGCTGTCAAGTGGTCGCACTAATGCAGCGCATTAGTTATGATGATACCTCACTGTCCGTTCGGTTCGTTGCTATCCTGTGCATATGGTGCTCCTACTCGATTGTTATTTTTTCCAATCGAAGTTGTAAAATATCATGTATTCTGAATCCATTTTGATCTCATCTACGTAGCTGTTAATTCTGTTTGAGATTTAGTAGTCATTTTTCACCTTTAGATATAAGTATTTGAAGCTATCTTTGTTGATGTAATACTGCTTTTGATTCATTGATTGTACATCCACCGTTGAGACTACTGGGATATCAAACCTTTGATTATGATAAACACGAACCTCAATTTTTTTTTGGATCTCGTCTCAAAGCGCATTTATGCTTTTTTATAATTTTCCGATAACAGAGTGATTATCGAGCACTTAGTTAGATGACACCGACTGTCTCAGCGGTTTGGAGTCCTGCGATTTTGAGTTGAGTGCAAAGGCTCAATGATCCTGTTTGTAACCATCTATGGAGATCTATATCTTGTTCCACAAGTTATGATATGAATGCAAAACGAAGCGCAGTGCGACACCGCGCTGATTCGCTCTGTAATATGGTTTTTATGGAAGATTTATGTTACAGTATTAAAATGTGAATAAATCTGATTCCTGAGGTTACAAATAAATGTCAAATCACATGATCATAAAACATAGTTATCATTTTATGTACAATAAACTAATTAACTAAAGCATTTGGAGAATGGCGTGATATTGCATGCCGTAAACTTGATAGTATGATATCTTCGCCAGCATTTTTTCTTACTTCGCTTTCATTGACAGCAGCTTGAATACCAGGAGCAAGAACAGAAGCCATCTCTTTAAAAATTTCTGACCATCTTTTCTGGTAAAGTCGCAGTAAATGATCGCTGCCGGTCTAAAAATCGTGCTAGAGAAGAAAAACGATATTAATCAACATGTACCTCCACAAGTTCAAGCAAGATAGCAGCGGTTGCGAATGGTCTCACTTTTGCTTTTGTTAACAACGACAACACCCTCCAGAGCGACTCAGCGTTGAAATGGGAGATCTTTTTAGTAGATAATCCTGAGATGTGAAAATTTTCACCAAAATGTGGAAATGTGGGTGAATTTTTATCTCAATAAGATCAAATGAGAATTCATATCCAGTGAGAAAATTGACCATACCTACAATATGAAGGTGGATAAACAATTTAATGGCGGTAGTTTCAGGATCAAGCAGAGACCGTATATCGTCGGCAGTGGCTAACTGCTCGGTAAATGCGAGGCTATAAATAAACTTGGTGCAAAGAAAGATCCATAAAACTAAGAGTCGGCTTAGTAGTTACCATTTCTCCTCGTTCAAACTCAGCAACTGTGAAGAACGGAGAAGTTTTCCCAGAAGAAGTGACTCGAAATCTGGGATCCCCTCACAGATTTCGATTAGTATTTGACTTATCACGTCAGCCAAGAGCGGGTCTCGTTCCACAATACCCTGAATACAATGACTACTGCTTCCATGTAAGCCGGAGACTTCGCTATCAGTTCAACCAAAAAAAAGATGTGCACCATATATGACTCGATCGTGACGATATAAGCATAGAGGATAGGTCCACCACGAGGAAGTTGTAAGTTCTTGTCGCCATATCTAGGAGAATCAAAATATAAGTTGATTTGTTGACGAGGTAAAACCATGAAACGCTCCAAAAGGCTCAGATCTTCAATGAATATACAAAAATTACCCAATAACTTGCGTCCCAGTAAACAATTTGATGAAAAATTCGGCAACAGCTCGAATCCCCTCCTCATTCGCTGTTCGTTTGGACTCCACAGTTACTTTCTCGATAATCGTACGCTTCGTGAGCACCCGTATACTTTTCTAAATTCCAAAATTACACACATAAACTCAGCTGAAATCTGCACATACCTGCTCCTTATTCTCTTCCATCATTTTCTTAGCTTTATCACAGCCCTCCGCTAATTTCAGTTCACGTGGATAGCACTCCTCCAAAGAATTTGGTAGCTTCGAGGTCGCTGCATTAGGCGATGTCTAGAAAAAAAGTATTCAAAGTTGCAAAGAAGTTTAGGCCGAAAGCTTACAACAGCATTGCCAACTGTTGTCGGTTCAACAACTTTAACATGATGATCTACATTAATTTCCGCTCTGTGGTCTTCTTGAATACGATCTTCAGCAGCAACCACAGGTAATTTCCTGCAAAAGATGAGTTACCGGCCAATTTGCTCAAAAGAACCCTAAAGCGCCCAAAAGCGCTCTGAAGCATTTAAATTCCTTTGATCTCTAAATGCTTTTCAGCGCTTTCGACCGAAGTCTGGCTAGTGCCTCAGCATAGCTCCGACAAGGTAAGAAAAAAGCATTCGAATTTATATGTTCATAGCCATACTGACCTGCCAGTGACTGTCAAAGTTGTAAATACATTTATGTTATCAATAAATCGATTTCGATGATTATTTGTATGCGACAGATTAGTTAACATTGATTACAGCCCCGGAGTGAGTCAGCACAATGGTTGTGCGCGGTAAAACAAGAAAAGAATGTGTGACACTCCTTCATGACTTGAACACGATTTGAAAAAAAGCAAAGAGAATTTCGAACGTACTTCGGAAACCTGATGTTTGATATGACCACGACCCTTTCTTTGGGCTCTTCTTCAGAATGCTTTCGGGCTCTTTCAATGTAGTATTGTGCAATCTCCTCTGGAGAACTTCCGCGCTCCAACGATCTTGTTTCGATGATCTGAATCAGATAGGATTGAGTAAGCAAGAAAGCAGACGAATATTTGAAAAAAAAAAGTCAAAAGACAAACATTGCTTGATGGCGATGAAAAATCTGGCTTCTTGCTGAACGAGTATCCGCCATGTAAATCCTTTTTCTCGGGTGATTGGCTCTTTTCACGGAACAACCTTGACAATGTAGTATGGAGGGCTGCTGACCTGAAATGTTTGTTATATCTTGCAAAATCAACACTCTTCCTGCAAATCAGAGATTTTTCGTGCGAGCGATAAAAAAGAAAGCACTGCGACTGCGTAAGCGATAATCTGCCTTGTAAATTTTCCCTAGCTTCACCACTAAATGGTCGTTCGGACTCGTGAGGAATTGGCCGTTCTAATAACGGATGTTTGATCGTATCCCTGGTTTACACTAACCGCGCTGCAGAAGGAGACCAAAAATTGCTCCGCCTGCGCCGCTAATTCTGCTATTCTCACTTCTATGCACATCGAAGTTTGACTCACAAGACTCTGTCTAGCGGCTGAACACTTGGGAAAGCGTATCGCTTGAATTGCAGATCTTCGTGACCGATATATTCATCATCGTCATCATCGTCAAGTAAACCGAATCTAAACAGATAAGTCAGCATAATAAAATCAAAAGACACGGAACCTACGTCGGCATTTGTCTTTAGCACTTTCCTTGCTTACTCGTTATCAAGGAGCAGAACTGATGACGAAAGATAAAGCATGAATATCCCGTACCACCAGATTCCGCGCTCCAACGGCATGGCGCAGCACGGGCGTCGTCGCGGCGCCATCTATTCCTACCGGGCTGGCTGCGCGGGCGGTTCGCGCGCGGCAGCCGTGAATAGCGTTGGGGCGCGCATTATATGGATACGACATTGCCATGTACCGCCTTTCATCGGCAAACAAAGATTTTTGCCCAACCCAAGATAACGAAGGCTGCGCAAGGCGATGTTAATGAAAACATTGCTTTCTACTTCAGTAGTAATCGCTACCTCATTTTGTATTGCTTCTTTGACTAGCGCAGCCGAGGATACCCTGCAACTCCTAAGTGCGCCTATTCGTTATTTGGAACTTATTGCTTTATCATATGAAAGGGGAAAAGGTTTTAAGTGTGTTTCGTGGCTTCTTCCTAATATGCGAATCTATTTGTTTCCCGTAATCCGCATATGCAAGCGTCAACATCAGTTGTGTGCCGGTGATCCTATATGTAAGAGTATACATCAAGACTTAACAAACTAACATAATCCCATTATGCTGGATTAGATAAGTAAGGAGGTCAGAAGGTATACGAGAACGCTTGCGTCGCCTACATTTCGACATCAACGTTTGAATTCCACTAAATTCTCCAGCATTACTCAGCAAACTCAGCTTCGAGTAGCTTTTTAGCTGAATCCTTTGTTCCTTTGGACTTATATAGCTGTGTTTTCGCGTTAGAATACTAATGCTAACCAATAAGAAGATCATGGCTGCTAGAAAATATACAGCTCACGACACTTTGGATGAGACAAGGAATGGCCCCACGGATTCTACGTTTGTGTGTTCTTCGCACATAAGTATTCTCTAATGTATGTATGCATCCGTGGTCGATTCATGAACGTCATGTCAGAAGCGTTCGTAAAAGCAAAGTATTGCTTGATGAACAATTAGCTTCAAAAATCCTACCTCTACTTGGTTGGAATCACTTATGAAACCGTTATACCATGTAGTGTAGATTCGAAAACTACTGTAACTGACTACATTCCGTGATTTGCAAAACCTTACGCACTCTTCAAATTTCAATGAACAAGGAGCATCAGATATTAGATTCACTAGGAATTCTGACTGTGGAACATAAGCGAACAATCTCATTACTTATGATTCAACTCGGTACACAATTGTAATGGTCTGACCCGATTAGCAAAAGTGAGCTTACGTCCACTACTTTGGAAAGGTTTGTTTTGTGATCAAGAGACTCAAAGTCAACGAATGAAATAAGTAACTAGTCAATAACCTCTTAGCAACGGCAAGGAAATCCTTGGAAAATGATGTATAGGAATAGTTCATGGGCGAACATTATGGCAGACAAGCTAAAGCCTTTATCAACATTGTTCTTTTTAGCTGGCATCTCATTAATGGAGTGAAGATCCTCCTCAGCACGTTTGGGTTAAGAGGCTATTCTACCTAACGTCGCAATCATGGGAGGGATTGCGCGCCCCATGTATACGGGTACCGCGCGCGAACCGCCCGCGCAGCCAGCCCGGTAGGAATAGATGGCGCCCGTCGTCGCGCGGCGCGAAAGTGTCGCTCGCGCGGAGGCTTATTTGCGGCTCGATTTTCAAAAGCAGAAGTTTTGCAAGAAACATGTTTTTAATTGTTTTATCTTTTTTCCTTGGAGATCGTATACTCTAGTAGTTCTCTTTAGTCAAGTAGATTGGGAGATTATGCTGCGGAAAACACAATATTTTGTTTTCATAGGAAGTCTCTCTGTACTGGATAGTCTATTCGACAACTGTTTTGCGCATGGTTCCAAGAAGCAATGACCACAAAAGAAGCTCATTTCGACAATGCAAATGAAGTGGTAATGATCTAATTCTATCTAGTCCTGTAGCTCTATTCTCAGTATTGTGGAAGAGTTTTTCAGGAGTTTGCGGAACCGGATAGTGCCTCCGATCCTGATGATGAGGGCTTTGAAGAATATCACCAGGATGGTGGCCAACAAAGATTGAGCACAGCGACATCAAAATCCAATGAGGCTACTTCTGTTGAGGTTTTAGGACATCTTTAGTGAATCAATCTATTTACGATCTTTCTTCTTGCAGAGTAGTGATAAAGCTTCGAAGACAAAGCATAGAAGTCGTAAGAAGAGAGCTTTGTCGCCTTTGTTGGATCTGCTTGATGTGGCCCCTGCTGTATCGAAGAACTTCTCTCCTAATGGAGGTAAAGATCTTTGTTAGCATGAAAGGAGTATTAGGTTTTTGCGCTATGTTACTAAAAACAGCCCTCATGCTTTAAAAATCCTCAGAATTTCCAGCAATTAGTCACCGGTCATGAGAGGTTTTTTCATCAGGTACGCCATATCTGTCATACGACGAAGAGACATGGAATCCCCAATTCTTATATCGCTTACCAGCAGACATAGCTTTGAATGCCATACGCGAACGAGGCACGGAAGGAGTTGGACGTATTGAAGTTGGTTTTCCTTACTTATGCTGTTCTTCACGCATTGTCGCATGCTTCGATTCATATAAAATTCAAAATTTTCTTTTCATTTTTGGTTTTTTCAGCTGATTTCAAAATTCTTTCTTTTTATTTTTTTTTTTGATTTTTCAAGTATGGTACCGAAATAGAACCTTGTCTGCGGAAGTTATACCACGTTGTATTCACTTACGTAGCTCAAATGAATACTCAACATGTTATTTTCGACTGTCTCTATCATTTTTTGATGGTCGCTTCTGTGATAAACTCTGAAGCTGCTTGGAAAACTTTCCTATTTAGTGAGCAAATTTTCAGATCGGTAAAAAGATGGGAATGGATACGACAACAAAGGCTGGCAACCGCCGTGTATCCGCTTACATTCTGACGGTTTGCAACGAACATCCAGACCATTTTGGACAGTATCAGAAAATGGAGGGGAAATTCAGATGCATCAAGTTAGATATTGCTGCTGTTTGCATGTTTATAGAAAGGCATCGTCATACTTAAGGTACTACTGGAAGGCCGATAGCCAACCAGAGCAGTTCACAAGATTATTTGAAGAATTCGAAAGATTAGCTGGGACTCCCTGCCCATTTAAGCTTGGTCAAGTCGTCAAATTTCCAAATTGCAATCTCAGTGAGTCGAATCGGCTTCACAGGTTTTCAAGAGTCTGCCTTTTTTTCGTTAGGTACATTGCGTATATCTGACGTAACCTTGCATCGTTTGATCGATCTGTTGGATCTGGTTGATCGCCATAGAGTCTTGGTTACATTTCATAGAATGATCAAAGCTATCAGTGAACGAGAGCTTGCTCGTGGATATGATTTTACAGTAAGTTTGATTGCGTTTGTGCGCTCCATCGAGTTCGAGTTTCCCCATTGTTTTGTGGTTGTATTAATGTTTATGTCCATCAAGTGTGATACTTGCAGATCGACAAAAAGTCACTTGTGAAGTGTCTCAAAGCACTGGAAAGTGTGCAACTCATTACAATGTTCGATACTTTAGTGGTAGCTGAAAGCGTTGAAAATAAAGTAAGTAAATTTGAGCTTTTTTCTTTTGCAGGCACATTTATCGCAGTATAGAAACGCCGACTTTTCTTAGTCTTAGACAATTAATTCTTTGAGGTACGTATTGTCTGTCACCGTGATATTCACTCCGCGGACGATCCAGAAGTGATACAAGTTATACAAGCAACAGTTGACGAATATCACAAAGAGGGTCGCGTCTTCCCGCATGGTCAGCTGAGGTGAGCTTCAATGGTTGTTCTTGGTTACTGCTTTGGATTCAAAATGAGTTGTCCTACATTGTATTTTTGACCGTTTCTTTTTCGCTGAATTGTAATTATATGTAATGATATTTCTTGCAATTTTTACTCGACCTGTTGTTTTCTTTGAATACTATTCGATTATCAGGGTTGATCTAATAGTCTACAGTGTCAGTCAACATAGCTTTACAAGTTTTCACACACTAACATTGTAGATTCTCCGTGAAGAAGAGGGCGGAAGTGGAAGCCCGCAAGTCATCAGCTGACTCACTAGCAGCAGTAAATAGTGACTGTAGCAACGGAATAGATTTGAAGCTGCGATATAGCTTACTTCGACTGCAGGTTTCCTCATATTCTATTCTTTATTTGGTAGCTAATTGCACTTTTTATTCAGACTTCGCTCTCAGCAGTGCTGAGGAAAGCAGAAACAAATGAAGTACGTGTTGTAGCGGATAAAGCAGGCGGGAAAGAAGGTGATGCAGAGCAAACGTCCGGTCCTAGTCCCAAAAACAAAAAAGTATGTCTTTCATCAAAAGCATGAGATGTGTGCATCAATTTTTTAGGAAAGTCATCTTGATGCTGCTGACGTCTCCCTCATAGGTTAGTTCTACGACTTTCGTTTGCTTTCTGATGTGTTTTGTATAGTGAATCAATGCAGTTTGAGATAGAGTCACTTGATGTTGTGCTAATGAAACTAACACAGTTTTTCCTGATTTTAGGCGAGGGTTCCGAGCTTGTGAGCAGCATCGATTACGGTTACCAATCGAAAGCACTCAGACTTTTCATACTACATGAACTCGCCTTTGCATTCGTGCATAGTCACCCAGAGGGTACAAAACCGACAGTTTATGATTTGTGAGTGATCATTCTTCTCATTCATTGCATGCTTTGCTCTCGAACGGTTTCGTTCCTTCGTCATCTTACATTGTTCGTCAGTGAATAGCGCAAAGACTGTCATTGAAAAGCTCTGCCTTTAAAACTTTGATGCACCATTTTCGAAAATACTTGTTTACTTTGAGGTTTGAAACATCAGATAAATTATTCTCCTCAAGCACTGAAAGGAAGTGTTTTTGAAGACGTCTTATACGCAGCAACAGAAGTTTCTTCCAGGTTTCCACCTGGTGAGAGCTTTGCTACATATCCGGAGCGATCTGTGGACGAACTCACAGTTTATGTGGACGAAGAGTCTCCTTTACGCTTTCTTCCACCTATGCCACCTTTTACCGATATTGCAAGGTAATGCACTGAAATGATAGAGTGTTACTTAGACTTTCGTTTTAGAGGATGGTTCATGCTTCACGACTTCTTTGTAGCGATGCCTCTGTCCGTATTTGTTTCAATAGCGTATGTGAATCGGAGTGTCGATGTTAGTATCGAGCCTTGCAATTCTGTTCTGTATTCAAAAAAGTTTATTATCTTATCGCATAAAGTTTCTTGTGGAGAGGGAAGCGGCGCCTTTGCATTGGAAGCATCTCATCACTAGAGCCGCTGCCATCGCTGCAGAGACGTTTATGCGGTCAGGTCTTAGACTGTGATAGAAAACTCGAAACCTCCCTGATCTTGTTCTAGAGAAAACTGCTCCTGAGTTACCTATGCGATCCTATCAAGAGGCATATACCAATCGGCTGCTTGCCACTTGACCTCCGTATGGCAGTTCTGAAAGTGGGTAATTTTGAAACTGACATTTTCTCGTGTTTCCATATTTCAATCTAAAGTGCTTTCACCTTCCTATGAATTGATTACAATATGCCTTTTCATCATGAATTTGAATGTTCCGGAATGCAAGCCACTCATTAGCTTCTGCAAATGATACTGATATGCGGAGACAAGACACTCCGCTTATCAATCGCTTAAGAAGGAATCAACATGTTAACGTCATTATTTTGTTGTCACTTAGCTTTGCTTAACTGGTAAACGGTGGAGAAGATGAGGCTATTTATAGACTTTGGAGTGTTTCTTTGGTTCTCAGTGATAGTAATAGTCATCATGATATAACGTACTTTTATTCTTCAGATAACAGTTTCTTTTTACGTTTTGAGTTGTTCTCTTTAGTTGTAGTATGCACAATTTTAGGACAAAAAGGTTGCGCGCCAGATCGAGCACATCCTGCTCACATTGGCAGCAATGGGACTAATGGCTGTTGCAGCCAGTCCTGACCCGAAATGCTTCCCATTCGCGCGTGCAACCGTATTTTATGTTAGCAAGAGGTAATTTTTTACACAAACACGTGATTCGCAGATTTTTTTGAGCTTTGGATCATTGACTTTCTTTTAAACTATGTGCATTCCATGTAATAACTCTTGAGTGATGATTCTGCATATCTCAGAGCTGCGCTGTACGACACAAGCACAAGTGGTAGAGGTTACGCAACTGTTACCTTGCCTCTCTCTAATTATGACAGATACAGCTACGAATTCAATACTACCGTGAGTTATCCTTTTCTGGTGCGACGCGCAGGTCATTATCGAGTGTAAAAAAATTTCCCCTGCCTTTGTGCGAGGCATAACCTCCGAGTATCTTTTTGCTCATTATTTGCATATTTATTGTCCTTCTTCTATTTTTGTCGCAGCTTGGTTAGATAAGTTCCTAAATGTTTACACATTGTTACAGGACGATGTGGTTCTTTTCTGGCACCATCTTCGAGCAATAGTGCAGTCCACCCCGCTCTCATTTCGAAACGATGTGAACTCTGAAGAAGTCAGTCAAGCACGCCACAAGAAATACAGTTTGGGCCAGTTTGAGAAGGCTCTTGTTACTGTGGATCCTAATAGCGAGATTGACGAGCTTATCCCTTTGGGTCCTCATGAAGGTTGCGCTGGATTCGATTCTGCATTATACCTGTAAGGTATTGTTCTCAGCTATCACATCGTCTCCAAATGTTCTGATCTGCAGGCATTTGAAACGTCATTGGGATATAGATCCTCGGCAAAACTCCTACGTTGGTTGGTTCATAGCGCGATTCCGAAGGCAGTCTGATAAAATGCGACATGTCGTTGAGTCTAGGTAAGTCAGAGTAGCATTAGTTGTATCACATTCCTCTTCTACATCCCTTTTCAGGGTGGCAAATTTGAAGAAGGATTGGAATAGTTATGTGAAAAGTCTCATGCCCAGCGAGCTGGAACTCACAAAGACCAAAAAGAACATGCATGTTAGTAATTTATCTTATCAGTTTCTCTGTGAGTCTCTTGTAAGGTAATTCTTATTTCCACTACCTCTCGCTAGCCTCAATATGACAACATATCTACCACTTCAGAAGGCAGCGTCCAACGAAGGTATGGTTCCAGCCGCAACTCGTTCAGTCACTATTGATCCGGTGAAAAAGAGGCCACCTCAGAAGAAAGCAGTGAGTTGGTAACAACTATATTCCATTGTATAGCGTTATGCATCAGGCTCCGACGAAGAAGAAACGTCCTATGGACAGTGTCGATATTGTCAGCGCGCAAAATCGTCTACACCTTCGCAGTCGATTCAGCTCGCGTGAAAGAGATTTGGTATGTTCCTTCTAGTCTGTTTTGTAATTCACTCCGTCATTATTCAGCTGATTATGATTCGAGCAGTTGGGTTCTTTTTGAATCCAGTTTACCGATTCTGGCTCGATCCTGCAGTTGTGAGAGATATTATGCATGAGTATATACCGGAATCCCGCAGTAAAACGGTGCAAGTGAGTCTTCAGTCCTATATGATTATGATTCTTGCTAGATTCTTTTTGTTTCAGTCACTTATGGCAGCTGGAGTGCGTGAAATGGTGCGGCCTGCGCGACTGGCTTATCTGCAAAGAATCGTTCGCAACCTTTCGACATTCCAGGTAAATTTCTATGATAGTTACTACACTGTGTAACTTTTCTTTGAGCATGAGCGTAATTCCTTTCTTGTTGTAATGCAGCAGTTTTGACAATTTTGGTTTCATGAGCTCCTACGCATAAAATGCTAGAATTTATGACTATGAATAACGTATCGAGTTCGATTGTAGATCACTCTGTAATGCAGAAGTAGTGTACTTTCCTTTTTAGGAAATGCGAGATCTGCGCTTCCAACTGGCTTCGGCACCTCTTTCAACTGCTGAATCTAAAACCTCATTCTTCAAGAATGCTTTCGATATTGCAAATCGACTTTTGTACATGTGAGTTTCTTAGCTGCGTTATTTTGGTTTTTCTGCACTTTACTCTTTAGAGAACATCAAGCTTTGCCGGTGACAGCAACTTCAAATAAACAGTTTGAGGCATATCTGAGGAACAGCCATGTGAGTCAGTCGAGTGTACCAACCAATAGGCGTACCTTTTCCAAATTAATCCGAAACTTTGGTACCATTGACTTTTCGCCATTTGTACTGAACCTTTGTTGTTCGATCTTCCCAAAGTAGAGGGTGTTTTCTTCATTCAGATGATCGTCTCCGCTGAACAGTCTTTGATGAGCCCAGTACCACTGCGATCACAGACCCCCAAATCGCTCACACATATTCATCACTGCGTGGCTGTGAACATCCTGTTGGTGAGTTACCTGTGAGCAATCATTAGTTTTCAACTAATCCATTTTGTAGTCAATCCTTATCCATTCTACTGATGGCGCTTTCTCGGAATCGATCTTAGACCAGATATCGGCAGCTGTAATTTCAAAGGCTTTGCAGGTAAAGTGTGCACTGATTTCTTTCTCTCTAGTGTGTTTGCATCTAATTTTCTTGGTCTTTCCATATCCACCTTGTTAAGATCCTTCGGTCGGATGGCTTAGTGTCAAGATCACGAGCGCTTGATCCCCATCTGATGGTTATTACTAGAAACCAGGCAATGATATCATACTAGTAAGTATGTATTATGTTGAGGGCATCACTTTGTCTGCCACAAAAGCAAAAATTGATTAGTAAAAAGTTATGGTCAGTCCTCTGAGGTGTTATGTATACGACTGACTGTGCTGCCTACAATTTTCGCGTTCTCTTTCCAGCTTCCGCCACTTCTTTACACATCGCTTCCATCCAGACACAATCGAACAGACTTTATCTGTCTGCAATTCCTTCGATGATAATATTGAGGGTAGCGAAGAAGTACAAGGAGATCTTCCTGGTGCTCTCATTGCCGCTGCATCATCGTTTTGCAATAATGTGAGTCTTCAGTCAGTTTTATCATTCTTTTTTTTTCTTTTGTAATGCCGTCAATTTATACTTTATATTTTACAAATGAGTTGACGATTTGTGACTTCTTGCCTTTCTTCCAAACCACATATTTCATTTATGACCTCCACTATCTTTCAAGGGTTATCTGGAAGTTTCCGTGGATGAGGACGTCTTTCAAATGTTTGAGCAAGCAGCGCTAGACCAAGGAACTGGACCTCAATCCATCAAGCAGATCAGATATCTGGAAAATACCGATCTTCATCTAGAACAGATCCATGTCTACGGAGGAATGACATCTGATTTACCGATCCTTCCTACATGGCAGTCACTACTGGCATTGATCGACTGGTGCTTATAATGAGTGTCTTGTCCTTCGGTAATCATTTTGAATTGTGTTGCAGGTCCCAACCCGCTGATAAGCACCCGCCGTTGCCCTTCGAAGAATTTCTTTTGGATATTCCCGTATCTGAGCGGAAAATTCTGCGGGCTGTCTACAAGCCGATTTCTTCTTCTGGAGCTTTTGGAGCAACGATGGGTGATTTGAAGGTCTGCCAGCTATCAACTGTCATTGCTCTTGTTTTTTACGAAAAGTCTTGCAGAAAGCTACCGATCTAACGGCGGAATCACTCAGGAAGACTTTGAAAGATTTGATGAATGCATGTCAAGTGAATAGAATTACAAATTTGATGTTGGTTTAGATCTGCGAATTTGCAATCTTTAGATAATGTGTGTAGGAGTGGATGAGCATCGATGGATAGCTGCTGAATTCTCTACTGCATGGTGTTTGAATGTTTCAGGAAGACTTGTCACGCCACGTCCATGGACCATGCCATCAGGTCAATACAGTGTTTCTCAAGAATTTTGCTCTTCTGAGAAGATTCCATTGAAACAAAGAATTTTTTTTTTGCGGAGCAAAGCCTTCTGGTCATTTTTGCATGTAAAAATATTCTTTAGGTGAGATATGTCCAGCAACTGTGCGATGGATGGCTGAGAGTGTTCTGATGACGGTAGTAACATCACCAGGAATAACTTTGAAAGAAATATGTTTCCGTCTTGAGTTTGCCCTACAAGCTGCTGCTATACATGATTTGGTATGTGACGAGATGAAGTATGTGGCTTTGATGTATTTGTAGTTATTTAGGTGATGGTTCTGAAGGAAGCTCATTGTTTGCTGGAAGTGGTGGAAGCGTTCGAAAACATGACATTATCATCACCTTTCCAAAGTAAGTGCGTGTTTTCCAGAAAATAAGCTGGAAATTAAGTTATTTTCGTTATTCAGAGTGTTTTGTAGTGCTTAGCTTCAAGTAATTGTAATGTATCAACCATGTGCAATTTCAGAAGAGAATCCCGAAGAATTCGTTACCTATCTCCTTCCGGCTGCCGGTTGTTTCGAAACCTTTGCAAGAATATTTGGAGGTCAGCTTGCCTTTTCCTCTTCTTCTTTATTGTCAGATTAATGTTTGTGATCGTATGAGACTTCCTCCTCTTATATAAGTTTCTAAAGACTTTTTTGGTTCAAATATCAGTTACAAGTTCAATAACTATTTTTTCGATCACATACAGGAAAATTTTCTCCTTATCTCTCACTTTTCTGCATTTCCTTCCTCTTCTTAAAAGTTACTTACTGTTTTAAAATTGTGCAAGGAATTTGCTATGGACTAATTACTTGTACTTCTAAATTACTTGTAAGCAATTCAGATAAATCTCAAAAATTTTCTAAAATTCAAACTAGGTTTGAAAACTTTTTCTGGGGTGTGGCTGCCGCCACGTCCCTTCTTTAAAAATTTCGGATTGGGCCCGCAGAAGTTTGAGAAGCATCAAAATTTCTTGGAGTGCGTGGCTAACGCTATCCACCTTCCTTCGAAAAAATTCTTTTCGCTTCCCCCTGCTCTCTGAACGTAAATTTGGGCCGCCACCATTGATAAGAGATGTAGCTAGCATTTTTCCATTAAGAGTACTTCAAGAAAGGTGACTACCATAGGAGAACGTCACATGGTATAATTACTTTCACTGTCATCACATGTGATACCTTAAAAATTCTCAAGAACATGGCTAAGCATTTTAGTTCAGGCATTTCATTGCTGCCAGCCATGACAGGACGAACTGATGGAGAAAAGGAGGAGGAATTCGGAAGGGATGCCGACAGAAGTAGTGTAGGCGAAAAAGAGGTTAACGTCACGCTTCCCGTTGTTGAGAGAGCACTATAGCAAGCATACAGATTTCTAAGCTGTACTTTGTTACTTCGTTGTTATTGATTTAGTTTGTTACGTTTACTATGGAGTTGGCAGAAAGGTCAGCTATTTTTTGACCAGTTTATTGCGATCTCACTTTGCTTAGAATCGTTGATTTCTTTTTTGTGAACTTGTTCAATTTTTTCTGTGTATAAGCAAATATAGTGTTTGTTGATTTACATCGCTTGTTTGTGTAAATATGTAAATAAATATATCAATGGCGCTTTGTAATTGCCCAAAATGTACTGTACATGTATACTGTTTTCTTGCACCTGAGTTGGCGCTGTTGCCAAGTCTTTTAACAACATTAAAGGCATGTTGAGGTAACCAATGGGAAATGGATCGGCTGTGGAGCAGTCAGCGCCGTCATGGTGGAGCTGGTTGAATTGGTCTCCGAAGCATGATGATAGTCATAGCAAGGAACCTGGTCAATCAAAGCTCCAACCTGTTCAGAATGACGTTAAAGCTGTAGAAGTCCAGGTACGTTATGTTCGAGTTATTCTGAAAGAATTTTGTGGTGTTCTAGACTCCAACGTCTTCTGCTGCAGAGGCTCCATCAATGGAAGCCATGAAAGATTTATCTGAATGGGAGAGAATACAGTATCTCTATAAGTACCCCAGCATGGAGCACGACTGCTCAACTCGTGTAAGTGCTGCTAGATGTGCTTTGAATGTGAATATATCGTGTGCTTAGGTTGCTCGGATGGCGTTTCTCACAGGGTTTTTCCTTGGCGGAGCATCTACGTATGCGGCAGCCCGGGAAACATATGAGAGAAGTAATGTTGGAAGAAAATATCTTAGTCCAAGCGATGCCTTTGTAAGTCATTGTTGCCCCTTGCTTGGTGATTTGGGAGGGGGGGAGGAGGGGGGGGGGGGGGGGAGGTAAATGAATGCTTATCAAGTTAATTTCTTGTACTATATCCCCTTCAATGTATCGGCCTGCGTTTTTGAATTGTACGCTTTTGCTAACTGCTAATAAATGGCGAGGAAACTTTCAGCCGCTCATAGCTTATCGCCATTGTTAAAGTGGTGTCTCCTTTATTCTCTTGTTCAGAAGCGACGAATGGACTACGCTATTGTACGATTTGCAAAAAGTGGCCTAGTCATGGGAGCAAAAGCAGCTATAATTTCTGGTTCTATTCTGTAAGTTATCATTGTATCATTGTAGCGCACAATGTTGCACGAAGAGCTTGAAATGGATTTATACATTTAAGTGTTGCATCCACGCATGTAGCTGCCTATCGACAACGGTTCTCGTCCTGGTATCTACCAGCATTTTCAGGTGTGCTCGCTGTCACACTTCATGAAGGTAGATTAGACTAGATTTCTCTGATTGGTTGATCTACATTTACAGCGTTAGTTGGTGGTGTATTCACATTCCCGCTTGGACTTATTGGTTCACTGAAGGCGGTTGGTCTAGGAGTTACCTCAGGGTAAGTTCTTATCTACCTGTTGCATCTGTAATTTTATTGCTTGGTTTGCTCCCTGTCTTTTGGAAAACTTGATTCACACAGTAGGGCTAGGCCGAGCTGGACTATAATGAATAATTAGCTTTGATCAACAAAATTCTAGGTTAACGTTAGCAGCCGTAGTTCACCTTTATGCTCTCAGTATGGATAAGACAGTGGATGATGCTTACTGGACATTCAAAAGAGAGTACGAAAACGTGAGCATAAATATTTCTGTTTACAAGAGTAGCAACTTAACCTATTCCTTGACTTCCAGGACTTGCGAGCAGAACAAGAGTTCCAAGACCGAGTGACCAAACTGATGAAAGATGAAGGTTATAAATGGCGAGGTAGTGCTGCTTCACGGTTAAGAAAGCTCGACGAGGAAAAGCTTGCTGCTCACGATGCTTAGATTTTAATCCCATTTGGCTCGACATACATTATCATTCTCACATCATCTTTCATGCTGCCAAAGTTTTGACTTTGCAAGCACTTTCTTGGAAAATTATACATGCGCTTTTTTACTGAAAATTTTCAACAAATGCTTTTCTATATGTCGCCACTCACTGTACAGCCAAGTTTTCGAGCATGTCAGGGAAGAAGTAGCTCAGACGAGTTGGGTTGATTAAGGACCCCAACTAATACTCACATAGTTTTAGGTAGTAGCTGTAGGTCAGAGAATGATTACCTTTCCTATTCATTGTGTTTGAATTGTCTTTGTTATTGTTTGTTATTTAGTTGTTGTATGTTTCATGAGATCGATTTTATGAAACAATTTGATAGGCTTGTGACTATGACAAGAAAAGCGTCTAGCCAGAAGCGTGGTTGAAAAGTCGTAGGTGATTCTTGGAAACAATGCTATGTGCTACTTTGATGTCAGTAAGATAAAGAGATTATCGATTGTAAGGTTTCCTGTAATTATAATGAAGTAATAATCATTAGTTTCGGAGTTTCCTGCAATTAAAATCGGAAGCTAATGAATTCGCGGAAATTGATTGTTTACATGCTTTAGTTGCCTTCAAAAGTGAGTTGCCCTTTATGGATTCGTTCTGCGATCAGGTCTCGGCACGAGCTGGCACCAGAGAAATTTTAGAACGAATTCCCGTTTGATCTTGAAAATTTCGTACGAAATCCCGTTTGACCTGTTTTGAAGACCCGATTAGTTTTACAATATGAGTATTTAGTAGGGTTTTCATGCATGCTGATTTCATGGAACAGCTTTTCACAGCTTTCTGAGCTTTTTAGGTAGTTCACATCTTGGGAAGCAGAAGAGGCCGATTTTTCGACCTAAGCGGACCGAGTAATTTTCAGATGGCTATAAAACGCTGAAAAGAAAACATTATGAAATTGTTTCTTCTCTGTATGTAAACTTTTAAAATTTAGATTAAGATTTATGTAAAAAAGCATGAAAACTTATGTGAGCAAAGGGTCGGTGTCAGCTCAGCTGGCACCCAGCTGGCACGGTGCCAGCTAATTCAGAAAAAAGTTTAGCACAGCTTGCATTCAAATAAGTTTTCGAAAGATATCCCCTTCGCTTTGCGCTCTAAAAACGATATCCAGCTTGACCCGGTGCCAGTTGTGCCGAGCTCTGTCTGCGACAGTTGTTGAAGACGGTAACTTCGGTAAAAGATCTGAAGCGCGGGAAAAATGACATCACCATTCCGTTAGATTTCTCTTTTGAATCAAAAGAAAAACAGCGATGTCACCGTTTCAGTGGGATTCGAGAGTTCCGGAGAGTAATACGATTTGCTAGAGTTGCATTCAAAACCACGGAAAGCACTGTACTGGTGCCAAATATCTGTGGAAGGAGTTGGCTAGAGGGGAGGGACAGCGCGAAAAGTGGAGCAGACTAGCAAAGGAGAAAGGGCAGAGATAACGGGGCTTTTGGCTTTGATTCGGGAATCACTGCAAATTCTCTGCAACATTACATATCTTTCTGTACGTCATGGGATGACGGATGACTAGAAGCGTTGGCAACGCGCCGAAGTTGAAAATTGCCCACAACGGTACACATTCGCATTTTCTTGAGCAGCTCTTTGCGCAGGTCATAGACACAGTAACTGTGTTTCATGAGCTCCCTCAGTTTTTCCGGGTTTTTGGAACTCATGCGTAGACCAAGAATCGGCTACTGAAGAAGACTACTGCCATTTTCGAAGGGACTCTCGCAGAAAATTTTTTTTGGCAAGAAAAAAGCCATGTATTTGCATTTTTCAAAGCTGCTTCCATATTTTACCCAATACCGCTCTATTCATTGCTTCAAAGAAATTCACGTATTGTTGCGAGCTTCTTGCTAGCTCCTGACAAGTTTTATTTTTTTTGTTTTTTTTGCTTACTGAAAGTAGGCTATGCTTCTCTCATTTAGCTGTTTCTTTGTGTTTCTTCTTGTCCACACTCTGATTTGTCTCCAGAAATCCCTCCAGAAACGTCATTTGGTTCAGTTACCCAAGTTTGAGATGCTCCTGAACTTTGCTCAAATTCGCCAAGCCCACAGATTTTTATAACGATTTATCAACATTTCGAAGTGGTTTGAACAATGAAGCACCAAAGCACTGTTGATATTCAAAAAATAAACAGAACAAACTATTCATACAAATAAAGCCATAGAACTTGGATTATATCCAAGTGAATCTCTTTAAGGCCACTTTAAATAAGAAATCACCATTTCATACGATCATATAAAATGAAATCTCCAGTACAAATAAAAGAAGAAAATAATACAATGCACATTCAAGGATAACAACAAAGTAGAGGATACGATGAATGAAAGGGAGAGTGGAAAGTGGTGTGAGCAGGATGATGAAGTAGGGTTACTCGAGTAGTAAGTTACCTAGTGGTGGTGACCATTTTAGACCTGTATTTCTGACTGTCCCTTGTCAAGGGGGGGGGGGGGAAGTTGACTAGAATAAAAAAATATCAAGGGGCTGACTAGAATAAGAAACAATTCTATGTGAGATGTCCGACGCATGGACTGTGCATCACTGTCTCTCTTAGAGAGTATGCAGTTAGAAGAGACGGCAGACAACGAGAGTTGTCCGCAATGACGTCCAGTCCGTGCGATCTACAAATATGACTAGAAAAATGGGCAGGAGGTTAAATTTATGGCTTTTCTTCTCTAGCTGCGATATATTAGATTCAAAAAGCGAATAGACAATCTAGTCGTGGAAACAAAGCTTCATACGCTTTTTAGAGATTCTCTATCACAAGCAGAACACCTACCGGCTTCAATAACTCAATGACTTACGGCAGTTAACTAGTGCTAATGAACTGATTAAAGTGTGGTGACAAGGAGCAGATCTTCTTGCGATCCACCGCTTTCCTGCGATGGTTGCGTGGTCGGTCGAAGCAGACCCGACCGCGAGTACTCGTTGTAGTCTCGCATCTCGTTCATACCAACGTGTTGCATGTACTGAGGTGCGAGGGAATCGGCCGCCATGTCGATTTCACGATCGTTCAGCGCAAATGCTTCCTCGATTTCGCGGCGAGCTGCGCCAACAACGCGACGATCCATGTATCTAGAAAAATTTTGGTATAAGTATACATAAAACTGTCATTTTGATCCAAAGTTCGACGACCATTAAGTGTAGCCATACTTCGCATGCAGTTTAGCGTACGGAGCGCGCCGTATCGTCAGCGAGTGTAAAGTGGCGCGGCGTACTTTGCAACTGCATGCACATCAGCGCACTACAAGAGAATAACTATAGCCGACTCTAAGAGTAAAGTACATATCTAAAAATCTTTTGTCCACAGCACTAAGGTAGTTCATATGAATGGCTTGGCGGCTGGAAGGCGGGGCTTCGTGACCTGAATAAGGCAAGATAATGATCACAGAGCACGCAGCGAGAGAGAAGCAGACTGCGTAGCGGGCGCGAGCGTCCTCAATTAGGTCACAAAACCCCGCCTTTCAGCCGCCAATACAGTTGAATCAAAAGTTAGTTTGTGGTCTTTTTCAAGGGGTTATGCCAGTTAGTTTTCGCATGCAAATCCGCTGGCAATCAAGTAAGGGAATGGATTATAAATTTTGAGAATGCGGCCAAAATTTATTGACATTTCATCTCAGTTCACTTGTCAAGTAATTTCGGTATAATTCGTTTAGCAATAATTAATCGATATATATATATATATATCAATCAATATATAAACCTGAAAATTTTTGAAATTTACCTTTAGTGGGATGCCTCCACTAGAAGCCCCACCTTATATGGAGAAACTGCAGATTTTAAGATTTTTGTTGGCATGAGAAATTCTTTGTAATGCTCATATGAGAATGAACGTCTTTGCTTTCTTACTTTTCCGTCCTTCTATAATTTCTTCACAGTATCTTGAAAGAAGATGATGCGAGAGCCTTCTGTACGGGAGAACTAGGAAAGGACGCGGGGAGGGTCATTAAACTCCGTCTAAGGGAAGGTAGAAACAAAATTACAATTTTTTTTATGTTGGTAGTCTTATTAAATAGGCCGAGAACAAAACTTTTAGATTTTGGGCAGTCAGACCTCTTATGGTCAGATGTTGTTGTTATGTGAAAAGATGAGTGCGGCATTTTGCTCTGCCTTATTTTGAAGTGCTTATGCTTAGCTACGCATCGAAAGCAGTCAACAAAAACCTAGCTCAGATTTTTAGAAATTCCATACGCTATTTCGTGGAAGCAGAGATGACTTGGAGACGAGTGCAATTCTAGTAAGAGTGAGACTACAATTTGCTACAGCTTTTCTATTTTAAATCACAAGAGATTATCAGAGCATCGCTATCATTGTATCTTTTAACTTTCCATCTTTTTTTGCATTTTTTTCTTTTTACAACGATGTGATGTAATTTACGCTCGATTTTTATCTTATTAAACTTTTCTACATGCTATGTGTCAAATTAAATTTTGCTCTGGCTTCACTTCAACAAGTCATTTACGCACTTAGAAAACCTAATAAGTCTATCACATGCTGATTAAGCACATTTCTTTCTATAACTGAGTTTGATGTCTTGATTATGAGATAAATACGTTGAATGCATTATTAGTGAACTTTCAGAGCAATATTATTATGGTGTAAATAATCTAAAGGCTGTTCAATTTAGGTATGTCCTCTTGAAGAGATTTTGACAGCTCTTTGAATGGAGTTTCCGTTGGTGGTGAAATTAAACGACCAGGGCTCGGACGAGGTGGCTTTCCGAAAATGCAAAAAAAACGAAGTTCCCTTGACCTCAAAAAAGAAGAAACGTCGACTTAAAAAACGTCGTTTTTCAACCACAAAAACGGTAATCTTTTTGCTTTTTGTCCCAGAAACGATATCTAGCTTGCTTATAGGCCACCTTTGTCGAGCCCTGTAAACGAATAATTTGATCAGGTAGAATTTGGACTCAAGAAACAATCCAGGTCTAATTTTTCTCAAGAAACTTGCATGCTTTAGAAAGTTGAAAGACGTTTCGTTTTTTTAGGGTTTTTAGGGTTTAGGGTCAAAAATACTTCGTGAAATTTTGCGAAAGTCACGAAGACTTCGTTTTTCTCGTGAGATATACAGCTTTCTTTCCTAAGTTGAACAAGTCAATTTTCCGAAATTCGTTGATGACGACCAAAGCGAGGAGAAATATCCAAGTCTGATTAAGTTGGAAGTGTTGTTTTATAACATTAAAATGGGCTAGGTACTACTCTCGCTTTATCAGAAGTCTATCTCCACCCACTGCCACGCCCTAAATTGTTCTTTTGATCCTCCTCCCAAAAAGGTTCCACCTTTGAGCATTATCCAGATGCGATCCATGAAAATCTCGAAACTCACCGGCCAAGTCCTAGCGCTTGTCCGACCAAGCGATCTGCTGGTCGTGTGTCGTCCTCTCTATTAAACGGCAGTTTCAATGATTTTCCTTCAGGAACAGGACGATAAGTTCCCTCATAAGCCTCCGATGGCATACCTAAAACGATGGGAATTTCTTAAGGGCTAAATTAGTGCATTAAAGATACTCACCAGCAAGTGCCAAGGCTTGACTTCGAGCCATAATTAGAGGTTCACGAAGTGGTGGAAGAGCTCGACGATCACCAGGACGTGGATGTCGTCCAATCCAATGTTCCTCATCGTCGGGATCGGCAAGATTACTAAACAAACATTCATATTACTGCTTTATGAGCTTGCTTGGGACGAGTTGTCCGTACCTTCTATTAGCCATCAACACCCGGTTATTGCCATCCAATCCAACTGGCTGATCATCAATTCTCATATTGATGGTCTCATCACGGACGTGATTTGCATACATAGGAGGTAGCGTTGGCAGTCTAGAATAAGAAAGCATTCATGTGGACCTCCAGCCAGAAAAATGAAAAAAATTAGGGTTCAAAAATCAGAAGAATAGTCTTGTCAAAAGTTTTTTATTTTCCAGCTTCAGTCATCCGATACTCCTTAATTTTAGTCAGAACGAATCCATCTCCTCTCTTTCTGACTTCAGCATTTGCAACAAAAATGTAATGTAATACTTTGAGACAGGCGTTGATTCTTTTTTGTAAAAATTTCATTACGCGATGGATATATCGCATTATGTGGCTTCCACCACATTATGTGACTAACAAAGTAAGGAAAGGAAATTCTACTTCGTTCAAATTTTGAAAAAAAATCAGAAAATTCTGCAGCATCCCTGCATGATTCTAGTCTAGGGATATGGTAGCGCATTGTGAGCCCCGAGCTGCAAGCTCGGTAAAAAGGGACAACTTAAAAAAAACTTTACTGCACTACAAATTTCACGAGCGGCTTCAAAACTATGTAGATCGGGGAAGAGATTACTAGATAATTATTCAAATTAGAAACGAATTCTATAGATATTTTATTGTATTTATATTTTAGTATAGGCAAGGTGTGCAGAAAAAAGAAAAGAAACCAGAGATCTTAAAAATTTTGTGTATACATGGGTGAGTGATGAGTCTGCGATGAAATTTTTGAGCTAGTTATTGTATTTTTGCATAAAATTTTTTATAGCGATTTTTTATGATGGACAAAGCACAAATACTGCACGAAAGATTTTGATCGGTGGAAAAACCGTGATAATTTCACTCCGTAATTATCAAAGTTACCATCAAAAAGACTTATTTTTTCTTTCGCCAAGATTATAAGAATATGAAACCAGCCAAAAAAATATTTCTGACATTCACAAGAGTAACTAGAAGTTATTTTTTTCAAATCACAAGGTAATTTGAAGTAGATTTTTCTCATAAATCATAATAATAATTTTCATAATAATTTTTTTCACAGTAACTTAAAATATTTTTTGAAAATTCATGATCCTTATATTGAAGAGATTATAACACTCAGAAAATTACAAAAGTTCCCAAACCTTCTCGTGCCACCGTTTGCCGGTTGCATTGGAACAGGACCACGAGGAGCGGACGTAAGCATTGGACTCGCTTCAACGGCACTCAACGAATTGCTAGGCGAGAATGGGCGTGACTCTGAAGTGTGTGGAACGTCTTCGGGGAAAGGACACGGGGGGGGGGGGGGGGGGGGAGGAAGGAGCTAAGAGGGAGCCTGAGTCCAAAATTATTTATGAGCCCAAAAACCAACCTCTATCTCCGTGATCCGAAGGTGAACGTGCGCCAGCAATACGATTCACAATGTTGTTGAAGAGAGAATGAGTTCGCTGAAAAAATAATAAAAATGGAAAAAATGCAATGGATATATGGAATACAGGAGAGAATACACTTTTAATAATATTGTTGCAGCTAGCCAGACTCAGACAGAGAAGAAAAAAAGAGAAGAAAGAGAAAGTAATGCGAAACCGCGTACTCTGTGCTGTGGTTCCGGATCCTCGAAATTGAAATCAGTCTCAAGATTTCCAGAAATTGCTCGTTTGAGTTCCGGTCCAATTTCGTGCAATGTACGAAGACCAGCCTAGAGAAAAGGGATCTTTTCTTAGAGCTAGAAAAATAGTTATGTGAAAAGTGCGCAATTTTCTGAACGTCTAAATATTTTTTTACGAAAAATATGGGGGGGGGGGGGGGACTTTTCATACGATCGGGGACTTCGCACCTAACCTTCGCACCTACCTCACGCCTACATCGCACCTCTCCATCCACGTAATGAGCAAGACTCTCCACTACGCCTAGGTGAGGGGGGGAGGGGGACTATTTATACGAACGCTCCCCGATCACTTTGACCTTCTAGCGTATGCTAGGGTGCTGGTAATACGTCCAGTTATCGATTCCAATGGATTAAAATGAAACGTTTATTATCAAAAATGCATAAACTAAAGAATATGATTTTATCTGTTGTAAGCTTATCGGGTTGAAATAGCGTATCATAGTAAGATCGTCAGGCCACAGCGATTTCATTTTCGCAAACAACTGGCACAATTGTGGTAATGAATGGTTCGCTCTATCGAGTCCCATGTCCTCCAATGGATGTAGCTATGTCAAGAGGCCCGATTCCGCCAGATGGGCAGCATATAGCACATATTTAGTGTTTTATGAAGTTCTAGAATTACCTAAAATTTCGAAAGAAATATATTAGGGAAATTAGGGATTGTTTAATCTCATCATCTTGAAATCGATTTCAAACAAAATTGTTGAAGGTCAAAAACACATAATGCAGTTAACACCAATTTTGTAAATATTTCTGTCAGTTTTCTAGCAAAAGTCGTCAAACTTATCAAGTGGTTACTTCAAACAGCTAGTAAGCCAATGAACTTTGTTCGGCACTTTTTGAATTTTCCCAAAGCATGAAACTGCAGTTTTAAGTTGATGACACCCAAAAAAATCGCGCCTCTTGACCGTCTTCCCCTCCAATATCCCCTATGGGAAGAGTAACACTTGCAGGTCATGCTGAAGGCTTGGAAAGGCATGTGACAATACTCAAATCAGTTCAAAACGTTTGCAAAAGAGACCGAATGATGTCGACTTGAATACTAAAAAATTCGTAAGTGTGTGGTCATAGTGTTATTTTTCACAGCAAAACACTTTTTGAATCCATACTGTATTCAAGTTTTCCAAATTTATCCAAATTCGCGGTACTGCACAAGCTAATCTAGATGATTGGAGTGGAGCCAGCAGGCCCAAACCTGGCATGGTGCCAGTTTTTACTGGATCTTTGCCAAAAGATGATGTGGAGGCATTCGTATGAAAAGTCCCCCTCCCCCCCCCCCACCCTCTCTACAGTATACTAGACGCGGAGGTGTGAGACTTGACACTTAGCCGTAGGTGTTCACATCTCGCACCTCGGAATTGCTCATCGTATGAAAAGTCACTCACCCAAAATATGGATATAGGGTATAATAAATCCAAGGTAAATTTTCAAATTTTCATTAGCTATTTTTCGGAAAAATTCACATCGTTTCTCTAAAAACATCAAGAGAACATTGCAAAACGAGAAAGCTCGGATAAAATTTAAATTTGATTCAAAATTATAAGCCTTAAATTTCCAAAATCGATCTAACATGTGTTATAAAAAACCAAAGTCATTCAATTCGGTAACCAAGGCTGTAAAAATCTAGTTCTCATAGTGCTTATGTTCTTTATGAGTTATTGCATGGAGATGCTAGTCGATGACAACGAATACATAATTCGCAAGCCATCTGAGCGCATCCTTAATGAGGACACATCTTTGTCATGTGGGGGGATAGAGCTGTCAAGTCGTTTAGGGGGTTATATTTCATTGAAAAAAACGTTATACAATATTTGAAGAGGCACTAAAGTCTTTAGGGTTACTGTAGAACTATATCTGTCTGTAACGAAAATCTCAACGAACTAGGGAAATGTCGCTACCGTAAACCAGAATTTCCAAAAGTGTTTCTACAGTACACCTACCGTATCTCATATACAGAACATGTCTGTATCCATGAAAGTTTTTGATGTTAGTCACGAAGTGAATCAAGCATTCTACTATTTAGAATATAAGCTATATCTCGAAGCCATTCGACAGCAGAAAATTAGCTGGATACAAACATGGACGTATGGATTACGATAGGAGTACTGTAAAAACTTTCTTGAAAATGGCTCTCTACAAAAAATAACTTTAATCAAAAGTGACATTTGCAGTAGTATATATAAAAATTCGTTGCTATACCCAAGTAATAACTAAAAGGCTTTTTGAGTCATATCAAGAATTTTCTGGAACCAATGCTCATTTGCCATGATGCCAAAAGTTTTTTGCTGTTTGATATGATTACCTAGAAAAAAACTAGCACTGAGCGAATTCCTGAAAATAAAAAAGCGAAAGAGTTATTGACTACCAAATTATATTTTTGAACACTACGATGTATGAATTTGATGATCCGCTTCAGGCAGACGAAGCTTCCGGTCGTCAAAAATATGCTAATGGCTTCCGCTTCTCTCAGAACAGCCAGCCACTTCCTATTCCAAACTTTAAGCACCCAATTTTCACTATTTTTTTCATGTAAAATACAAGTCTTTAATCGAAACACACCTCTGTGAAAATGGTTTTCTTAAAATTTTGTTATTTTCATTTTCTTTTTCAGCAGATGATGAAATTTTAGCATACTCTGTTAGCGACTGAAATTCAAGCATCGCATATATTATCGCCTAAAGTATCCAATTACATGGGCATGCTTCGTTTTCCAACTCCATTAGAGCTTCAACGTCGAATCGTGTCAATTTTTCATTTTTGAAAAGAAAATTTTGGTCCTATGTATTTTGAATACATACAAGAATTATGGAACTATTATATACTACTGTTTCGAGAATTATGGAATAATCATATACTCTGTTTTAACTAAAGAAAAAAGGCACCTTTTTTGAAAGTGATTTTTGTTATTTTCAACTTGGAAGGATTTCCTAATTCCTTGTGAATAGCGTTGGGTCACCTTTTACCTTACATTTTTTTTGAAGCTAAAACTCGTACTTGAGAAGCTTTTCTCGAAATTGCTTCCCCAACTTTACGACGGAGTGAAATGAAAAAAATGAAACAATGAAAAAAAAACACTCGTGGGAGAAGTGCGCCGTGCGAGAATTCTGATTCAGTTAGACTAAGAAGTAAAAAAGTAGAATAATCTAATATATTGAATTTGCTTTTTCAGGAGGAAAGTTCCGGAGGTGTTTGGTCACCGAATCAGCTTATACATATTGAAAAGAGAGCCAGAGTAGAGTAATGTAGATATATTAGAAAATTGTGCAATTACACTGACTGAATTAATATTTGGAAAAACGTGTGAAGTAAAGACTCATGGATCTTGAATGGAAAAGAAAATGAAGAGATTCTCGTTTCTAGAAATTAATGGTTTCGCTTAGATATATTAATGTAGATATTACTGTAGTGTTACTGTGGGGTTTTGGGAGGGGGTATTCACCCAAAAAAGTTTCTGAAAGGATGTACTTAAAGTCAAAACGAAGAGTTAAGAAATCTATAGAAACTTCAGGGTACACAGAGTCATAAAAATTGTTCACCATAGCTTCAAAATGATCGTTTTTGCCATTTCCGCTATTCGACGAAAAACCGAGAAATTTACGTGATTTTCTATAAAAAAAATAAAGGCATGCTTCGCAAATGTATGGAAAGAGGTACAGCAATTTTTGCATAGAAAAGCAGCTACACTCTTTTAGAGTCGTGTGCAAATGTTTGCACTAGACATAATTACATGGAAACCTAACTAGAAGAAGAATTGAAAGAACAAATTGTTTAAACTGAGCACTTAGCTCTCTTGGCAACGAAGCATGGATAACGAAAGGTTTCGAAGTTTGCAGAAATAGAATAAAGCGCACTTTTGCTCGTCTGAGAAAGGCTAGCCGAGCATTTTTTAAGGACACTTTGTCTCAGTTTGCAAGTTTAGCAGAGGCAAAACTTCTTTACTGAGAGAGAAAGAGAGCAGCAAGGCAACATTTATAATGCATTAGATGTCTTGTGCCGATGTTTCGCGAGCGCTTCAAGATGGGAATTTTTAAAGTGAGCAGAAAGGGAGGGAAGTCCTAATTTCTTCAAGAAAAATAATTCCGCACAGCGCTGAGAGGCTTTCTGTGGTCTGGTTAAGCTTTTCCCCTATCCAAAAATATTCCCATAAAGCCAGCTAAATAGCCTAATTTGTCAAGAAATCGACGTAGGTAAAGCTCACTACTTCTAGAGCAATTAGAGCTTTATGGCGAGTGGCGCATAAGCTCCTTCTCTACCCCCCCCCCCCCCACCTATAGAATTTTCGCTTCCAAGAAGAGAATTTTATAGGTGTAGAGTCAAGCGGAAGATATTGAACAATGAAAGAAATCAAGCACCAAAGTCATAGCGTGCGCAGAGCGAAGAATAAGCGAAAGGTGGGAGGAAGCACGTTATTTGCACTTTGCATTGAGGACGCAAATAAGATCAAAAATTCTTGAATTAGACCTCGTTCTGCACTCATATATTATAGTAATGGCTGTTAGTAGCACTCTATCTGTCTGTCTGTCATTTTAAATGAAAATGGACGAGCAGTTTTGAACTTTGAGAGCATAGGATGTCACTTCAGTATTTATGAACACTTTTATCAAGGTAGAAGAGTTTCTCTTGCTTTTTAGGGTATTTTGATCTAGACAAAAAATCAAGAACTAGGTCAAATGAAGCAAACAAGTATGAGGATCTAAATAATGAGGAAGAGCCCTTTTGGGCAAATGATGGATGATTTGTAAAAAAAAATAATTGACCATTAACTTAATTCATACTGGAACTCAATAAAAGCACAGATTATTTTGCTACCTTAATGTCCTCAAATTCTACCTTTTAATTTTATATTTTATCGAAAACAAAAATTTCTTTAAATGAAATGCACTACCTATTGATAAAACATTTTATTTGTCTCTGAAGGGCTCGGAAAAGCAGTTGTACCTTTTAAAAGAGTGGCCTTAGCACTGTACTATTATCATAACTTTTCCTTATCTATTGAATGTTATACATCCATTTTTTAATTTTTTGGCAGTTGTTTCCTAGTACATATTTTCAAACAAAGCCGCAAGATTTTATTCCATTAAGCAGCCTTATACTACGACTGCATATAAGTTTCACAATTTTCCACATTTTAGAAGCACTTTTTTTTGCAAAATTCCTTCACCGTTAGAAGATAAAACCACTTGTTATTCGGTTCTAAGCTAACTGAATAAGACAAAGTAGCAGTTGCTTTAGTTTTCGTGCTTGTTTTGGCTCAGTGCCACATTTACATAATTCGAATGGTGTAGAAAATGTAAGGATCTCAAAATCTTCCACATGTTTTCCAAAGCTCAATCGTTAAGATATACTGGTATTTAATGGAGTTTTTATTTGATAATGGTTCTAGGGCGAGTTGTTTTTTTTTTTTTGATAATCGACGAAAATAGCATAATAACTTGGCTGCTCGATTAAAGCAGAAGAGATCGAAGATAAACCAATATGAGAATGAGAGAAGTTATATAGTCTCTAACAAGTAAGTTGAATCAACCTAAATAAGGATTTTTTACCTTTTTTTTTGATCGGTAAGTACTTAGGCAAGAGTTCTCAACTATAAATTTGGAAGCGCAATGGGGAGTTGGTGCAAATCAAAGTTCTGGCAAGTTTTGTATAGCCTTTGGATTCAGATTGTAGATCTAAAATTTCGAGCTCATTTCTATAATGATTTTTCAACTATAAATTTGGCTTATTTAAAATACCAGCGTCCAAAATTCAACTGCTCTCAACTTTGAGGGATTTGCTAGCGATTCTCCTCTAAAAAAAACCTAGCTTTCGAGAACTTTTGTATCGCAAGCGATTTTCCTTAACGCTAGAGAAACTTTTGTCTATAAGAATGCAAAGATCTATGAATGACAAAGACAAGGAGAGTTGAGAATCAAAAATGCTTCAGAAAATCAGAGAAGTCTGCTAAACTTTCATGAATGTGCTAGTACAGGAAAAGCTGTCTTGAACACTTGGAGCAGCAGATTCGGGGCAACATCAGGCCTGGAACTCGATGTAAAGAGCCGATATCCGGTACGAATGGGCACGAGTGTGGATTTTGGAAAAAAAAGGAACAAGAGGTTTAGAATGTGAAATAGAAGTAGGTGAGAATGTCTATATTTGTCTTTTTATAACTCTCAGTAAATACTTGTGGAAGAAGGAAAATAAAAAACGTCGTTATGACTCAATTTTCATGTGATAAAATTGCCCGTTGTAGTCTACAAGTTCACATAATCATTTTTTGCATGGTGCAAGTATAGCCTACAATATGGAGAACGGAATTCAGTGAAAATTTCAATGCAATCAAGCAGAATTGTACTACAAAAAATTGAATAGCTCTATAGAAAATTCTCTTAGAATTTCCCCGTTTTTGGACGTATTTTGTGGTTAAAAAAGTCACCTGAAGTGCCATCGCTTGTGGTGTATGCGTTGGCATAATTCCTTTCGCCTCAAGTTCTTTTCGCTTTTTGAAACGACGAAAGTAATCCTGAATTAGGAACGTCGCATAGAATTTACCCACAGTCACATCGTCTTCTTCTGAAAAGGCAACATATATTTTTGGAAAGGAAATTCTGAAAATTCTTCAAACGTACTTCCTGCTGGCGGAACTACTTCATCAAGCATTTTGGCCGGTGTTCGTTTCCATATTCGTTTGATTGCCCCTCGAAGTTGCTCGTTTGCCTCGTCGATGTTACCCTCTTGAAAAAAAAAAGACATTTTATCAACAAGGAAACCATGTCTGCCATTTTTTGGCTCACTTCCAAGATCAATGACGTCATAAAATTATTCAATCCACGTATATACCTAAGGTCCTATGAATTTTCCCCACTCTTGCGTCAGTGGCGAGAAAAAAAAAACTAGCAATACAAGGAAATTGCCCATCAAACATAAGGGATTACTCAGTCGCAACGATTTTCGCTACAACCCCATGGGAAATATCGAAAATATTTATAAGTGCAAAAAAGCCCTGTTCAGCTATGATTCATAGATGAGGCAAAGAAGTGATTTTATGTGAAATGCCTGTAATAATTCCTATTGGACACAAAAAGTCCCGTATTTCGCCAAAATTTCCCCCTAGAGGCTTGCGCATGATCCCTTTTGTTGAGGATACGGTAGGTAAAGTAAGAGGCCAAAGTCGTATGTAAAACGGTTACAACATAGGTATTCCCGCGCGGAAGATGGACTTTATTACGATAGGAATACTGTGGTAAGGCATGCCCGCGCGGGTTGACGTTATTACGGTAGGAATACTGTAATATCACTCTACTTTGTGAAACATGAACATGTTTTTTTGCCAGCAGAAGCAAAACGGGTTCATAAAAATTGACGGCCCATCCTAGGCTAGTTGTCAAAAAAAGTTTCCGTCAAATAATTGTGCACCAATCCGGAATTTCGAACATGATTTCCGACTAGGATTTTATCAATTTCAAAAAGTAAAAATCTTGAAAGCTCAGTTTGGAATTCCTAAGAATTTTACAAACCGTTCTCCGTGCCAGAATTCTTGAAAAAACAGCACAATATTTATTTGAACAGTATTTCAAATAAGGTTCACCTCATTTTTTATTCTGGTTTAGACTGCCTTTGATCCAACTGGTTTGCCTCCTGGAAGGCGGAGCTTTGTGACCTAAGTAAGGCCGCTAGCGTCTGCGACGCAGTCTGCGTCTCTCTCGCGCGCGTGCTCTCTGATCATTATCTAGCCTTAACTAGGTCACGAAGCCCCGCCTTTCAGGAGCCAAGTCAGTTGAATCAAAGGGTGCTGTGAAGTATTAACGTACCGGTATAGATCTTGAGATTTGTCCGAACCAGCGCAAACAATGTCGCATTGAAGCAAACCGTACCATCCGAGTTCAGCGGCATGTTCATCGATACCAAGCGCTAGAACAAGGTAGATGTTCGTAGAAAAACACATGAAAAAGAATTTGACCTATAAATTACGAAAAATCGATAAGCTCATGTTGTTTTGGCAATGTTTTTCGCAGATATCTCTGAATGTTACCAACCTTACAGGCCAGCCTATGTGGGCACAATTTACCGAATCCAAGAGGAGGTGAGATTTTTCGAAGTAACGTGACGACATCAAGATGTTTAATTCTTCCTAAAATGAGTCAAAAATAGCTGAAAACACAATATGTGAACAGGAAACTTACCTTTAGCATCAGGATCGTATTCGGACCATAGACGTACGAACTCTTCCAAATGATGTGGTCCAAGAATTGACCAATCTCTGGTCAAATAGTCGAAGTTGTCCATAATGACAGCCACGAACAAGTTGATGACCTAAACATTTTATTTAGTCAAATATCAGATCATCATTTTCGATTTTACAGTCGTCCTCAATTAGGGAATAATTTGTGTAATTGCACTGCTTTTACGAAATTGCGCTGACGCACATATACTGAGCTCATCGTGAAACTAACATAAATCAGTAATCACGATTTCCTTTTTCAACGGCAGCCACCCTTTGATTCAACTGGATTGGGGGCTGGAAGGCGGAGCTTCATGGCATAGTTAAAGCTAGAGAATGATCAGAGAGCACGCATGCGAAAGAGACGCAGGCTGTGTCGCGGGCGCGAGCGGCCTCAATTAGGTCACAAAGCCCGCCTTCCAGCCGCCAATTCAGTTGAACTGAAGGTTATTTCCCCTCTCTTCATATTTCATCCCTCCCCCCTCCTCCCCTATGAAGAAACATACCAAAAATGAGCAAAGCATGAAGAATGAAATGAAGTATGGGTAGGCGAAGTTGACACCGCATCTCGCTTCCCGGTCCTTCTTATAATCGTCCGACAACGGATCACATCGCACTTCAGGACGATCCGCGCACGATAACATCACCTCTTGCCAAGATTCACCGGTTGCACACCTTTAACGGCGTATAATTATGTTAGAATTAGGTTGCATGAGAGATTTTCGCGTGCCGAAACCGCGCCAGCGCCATGCTGGCGCCGCGCCGGAACCTTGATCGATTATTGTGGAGGCGCATGCACGTTCCGGCACGGCTCTAGCACGGCGCTGGCAATTAATCCTCCTATAAAAGTATAAACAAACCTGAACAGAACTAAAATTGCAGCAAAGAACGAATGAAAGTTGTTGTTACGATGTATTTGGGTTGAGTCATCTAGAGCAACTTTGCCGAAAACCTGAAATTCTAGACATTTTAACTTTGAGCACTCACGAACGTTTTGTGATTCCATACTATAGCCTTTATCAGTAAAGTAATTTCCTACTCAGGCCTTGTACGCAAAGGAGAGGATTATCTAGAAGGACTTGAAGTAAAATGGAGAATAATTGTTTCCGTTAAAAATTACCCGCCATTATAAGTAAAGCTAAGTGGTGGTTCAACAGACAATTCCCACTGTTTACTGTGTTGAAATAAGAGCTAAAAATTGCTTTGAGAAGAGTAAAGGATAAATCTGTAGTTGTTAGAAATTCTATCATGCAACCACCAGTAAAAAGTACTGTTATCCAAAAGATTAGAAGGTGTGTGTATAAAAATTGCGCTTTTTACGTAATATGAGAGTCCCATAATTTGCAATGCAGAAACTAAGCTGGACTTCTGAATCGACTAGAGATATAGGCTGCTGCCAGGGCTCGGCACAGGTGGCTTACGGGGCAAGCTGGATATCGTTTTGAAATAAAAAGCAAGGGGGGTATCGTCGAAGTGTAAATTCCAGCCTCCCCCCCCCCATACACCACACAATCGCCCTCTGCCTTTATGTCACCCATCTTCTATAGAAGACGCAAATTGTCATTTCTGCCTTATCGATCCGAAAAAACTAAAAATTTCCCGTTTTAACATGTTTGCCGGCTAAGCGCGCGAATTCAAACCTGACCCGAAATAAACAAAAGACTTGTTTACAGCGAAGAGAAAATGAAATGACACCAAAATTGGAGTTTAGATGTGTAATAGGGAGTTAGGACTATGTGCAAAAAATTATGAAAAAATTAGGTGAACTGAAGGCGTGGCAAACTTTTTTCGGAGTTAGGAGCCTTACCAACCACCTGGACAGCCACCTCAGATGGCTGTGAAAAGAGAAAGTGTCATATATTTCCCTTCCTTCACATAATTTTCTCACATTTCTAAAAAAACCCTGTTCTACATCAAAAACTCTACAAATGAGTTTTTAAATCTACCTAAACTCCCTCTTCCTCGCCTCCAAATATTTTACATGGCGGCGGCAAGCCTGCTCGAAGCGCGCAAAGGTGCGCGCCGGACAAAGCATGCCGCCAATTCGGAAAATACGAACGTATTTATTTTTTTCTCGTCTGTTCGATGTTGTTTTGGTACTATTCCAGTACACCGACCCCAAAAATCAGAAATCTCGGATTTCGCTCGAACTCGTATAGGGGGGTTATTCGATCCGCTGATGCCGAGTATCATATCGATTCCGTGCGATAGCGCCATTTTCCGTGGGTTACGGTGGGTATACGGTAGGAGGTCAAAATCACAAAATTCTCTGAAACTTGGTGCAGGGGGGTTATTTGACATGCTGAACACGAATATGATATCCATTCGTTACGGTAGCATCTCATTCAGGGGTTACGGTGTGTATACTGTAGAAGGGTCTAATTCACTGCTTTCCACACCCACCGCCGCGCGCGATACACTCTGCGGCGGCTTTTGCCTAAGCAAAGCAGGAGAGGAAGTTTCCGACGTGTGACTGAGATTTCAAGCCCTGAATCTCGAGCTAGCGGTGGTATTGGTAATGTATACCCAACGTAACGTCGGAATGAGGCACTATCGTAACTAATAAACATCATAATCGTGATCAGCATGTCAAATAACCCCCCTACACGAAGTTTCAGCGGATACCGTGATTTTGATCCCTTACCGTATACCCACCATAACCCCGGAATGAGGAGCTACCGTAATGAATGAATATCGTATTCGTGTTCAGCATGTCGGATAACCCCCTCTTACCGAGTTTCAGAGAATTTTGTGATTTTGACCCCCCTACCGTATACCCACCGTAACTCCCGGAAAATGGCGCTATCGCACGGAATCGATATGATATTTGACATCAGCAGATCGAATAACCCCCCTATACTAGTTTGAGCGAAATCCGAGATTTTTAATTTTTGGGGTCGGTATACTGGAATAGCGCCGTTGTTTTTATGTTTTATTTCATTATTGTTCCTTATTCGTTTCAATTCATTCGTGATCGCGTCATAGGTGATGTCGTATTGTTGTGCCGAAGTCTACAGGCACTTCGTTTTTGAAAAATTGAAAAAGCCACCTCATGCCGAGCCCTGGCTGCTGCATGACGAATGCGCAATGTCTTTGGGAGCGAACGCGGCTTTATTAGCCGCAGAGCGCATGAGGCGCGGGATTTACAAGGGAGGATACGCGCGCCGCATTCGCGCCCGTCCGGCTAAAACTGTTCTTGCGCCTTCTCCCGAGATTGCCTGATCCCAACATTACAGAATGAGACAGATCAAGCTGAGAAGAGTTGTGCGAACTGACTATTCTTGCCGAAAAAAACTTGAAAGGAGAAGGAACATTTGAAGACCTACCTGCATTCCGATTACTGCATAGATAAAGAAAAGCAACACGATCAGCAGAGCGACGTAAGGTAAAGCCTGAATGAAATAAAGCAATGAATCATCTGGTTATTAGTTAGAACTTTTGAGCTAAATTCATAACTCAAAAGAGAAGCTTGCGCACTCGAAATGGCCTTTTCTGACAAAATGCATGTAAGTTTGTAGGTCCTGGCATGCAACTCACAAAATAATTTTATGTATCTGCCTCTGGGCTAAGATATAAGCGTTCGAATTTCGAGAAATCGCGCGGTCAAGCGGATTGCATCAACGCGTAATGGTGACGTAGCGCAGTGGCAAGTGGTTGGGCTTACAATTTTGAGGATTAGGGTTCAATCCCTTCTCTCGTCAACATTTTCGCGTTTGTCTCCTTTGTCTTCAGTGATATGGAAAACTGTTTTGTGAGTTGCATGCCAGGTCCTACAATCCTACATACATGTCGTTGGAAAACGTCACTTCGAGTCCACATGCTTCCCTCTATTTATTGGAGTTTCTAGGGGCTAATAATCTCAAGAGTTATACACAGAAGTAGGAACACTGAAGTTTGATTCATTGTTTGATATGGCCACGAAGCTGAGAATAGGTCTTACCTGGAATGATTTCATGAACGTCCACAGCAGCGTTCGAATGCCTTCTCCTCTAGATAACAGCTTGACAAGCCGCATCACACGAAACAGACGAAAGAAGTTGATCGAAATCAGATTCGAGCCTGAAGGCAGATAATTTGACTCCCAGTAACGGACATAAATGAAGGGAAGATAATTCTCCAGTTCCACTCACCACCGGGACTGAGTCTGCCGTAGATGATGTCGATGAATGAGCCCACAACGATCAAGAAGTCAAACACGTTCCACCGATCACCAAAGTAGTTTTTCGGATTCAACGCTAAAAAGAGGTAATAATGGTTTAGGCAGACATACTTACTTACTGAAGATCACTGAGTGCAGATTAATAATAAGTTTGAGAACGATCGGAAAAGACGGTAAAGTTTGCAAAAGCGAACTGCATGTGATTTATGTGCAAAGTGTCTCAACAAATTCTGCAAAACACTTCGTGCACGTGACCACCGACGTCAATCAAGAAGATCGTGGATGTCTGAAGCGAGAAACAGAGGCAAATGGAAACTTTTGTGCTGGGGCCCGCACGCCACGTGAAGACGGGCCATCTAAGTAATTAAGAAGTAATAAAATTGCTCTAGACATGCTCGAAATTAGAGCATGCGCTATTCATTCGAGGCAATTTTTGATGAAGAATTTCAAAAGAAGTATTATTGTAATTTGATTCATGCGCATCCGAAACTAAAATAATTTGCGTAGAGCTACTAGCAACGGCGGTCTCCTTCACAAACTTTGCAAGCTCGTAAAAAAGAGTACCGAACTTCCAAGAAAAATTTAGAAGCTCCCTACATGTGTTATGGAATTGAAAATTTTCATTAGGTAAAGAAAATAAATATTTCACTTTTTTGAATACTAAATCAGTGTTTTAGAAAATTTCCCTCCCATTACGAGCTTGCAAACTTTGAAGGGCAATCAAAATATCTCCTATTCTCTCTCCGCTTCCTCCATCCAACAGAATAACCTAAAGTCACCACGCTACTAGTATTTATCTACCTTACTTCACATTTTATTTGCTGAACAGATTGTAGTACTTGTCCACTTTTTCTAGACCTTATCTAGCGATGAAGAAAGCTTATATACTACTAGCTGGCTTACCCGGCTCCGCCGTATCCGGACCAAACTTGGCACACATACACTTCGGGCCCCGGCGGGTGTCACAGTCCACTTTTCCTTATCGATCGATGTCAATTTTACCGATTTTTATCGATTTTTTGCAGAGTTCACCTACAGGGCAGGAGTTGGCACAGGGGGGGAAGTGAGCATGGGGATTCCGAATACAACATTAGTTTTCAGGATCGTCCATTACTTTTATCGATTTTATCGATTTTTTTGTAAAGTTTGACCTGCGGGGCTGGGAGTTTGCACAGGGGGGTAATCGAGCATGCTGATTACGAACACAATATTAGTTTTCAGGATCGTCCATTACTTTTATCGATTTTATCGATTTTTTTTGTAAAGTTTGACCTGCGGGGCTGGGAGTTTGCACAGGGGGGTAATCGAGCATGCAGATTACGAACACAATATTAGTTTTCAGGATCGTCCATTACTTTTTCGATTTTATCGATTTTTCGAAAATTTGAGCTAGGGGGCTGGAATTTGGCACAGGAGTGTAATCGAGCATGCTGATCACTCCCCTTGGGGGTGATCAGCATGCTCGATTACCCCCCTGTGCCAACTCTCAGCCCCGTAGCTCAAACTTTGCGAAAAAATCGATAAAATCGATAAAAGTAATCGATAATCCTGAAAACCAATATTGTATTCGGAATCCCCATGCTCGATTACCCCCCTGTGCCAACTCCCAGCCCCGTAGCTCAAACTTTGCAAAAAAATCGATAAAATCGATAAAAGTAATCGATAATCCTGAAAACCAATATTGTATTCGGAATCCCCATGCTCGATTACCCCCCTGTGCCAACTCCCAGCCCCGTAGGTGAACTCAGCAAAAAAATCGATAAAAATCGATAAAATCGATATCGATCGGTGACGAAAAGTAGCCTATGACACCCGCCGGGGCCCGTAGTGTATGTGTGCCAAGTTTGGTCCGGATCGGTTCAGAAATGGAATTTTCTATTCGGAACATACGTACAGACATACAGACAGACAGACATACAGACAGACAGACAGACAGACAAACAGACATTCAGCTTTATATATAAGATTTGATTTTTTCGATACTCAATTCAAAACAATCTTCACTGTATATCTAATATATAAATCTATCTAATATTCTTCTAATATATAAAGAATCGTTAACTCAATTCAAAAACCAGCAAATAGCGGGAAACCGCGCGGCGGTACCGAAGCGAACGCTCTTGCAAATAGCACCTTTAACTACTGGTTCACTAGTTCATTGCAAAAATATCCGTATTCTTTGTTGTTCTCTGTGTATGTTTCGCAATATTGTATTAACATCATACAGAATCTCTTCAAATTTGTTTCGATTTTTATTGTGCACGTTCGACCAGATATGACGTTCCCCTCGTCTCTTTCTTCATTCCCTTTGTAAACAGTGAGAAGTAGTGAATGTTCGAAATGCAGTAATTTAGGTCCATTACGCTTTGAGACAGAAGAATAGTTTAAGCCTTCTGATTTTCGACTTCTTGCGCAAAGGCTATAGATTGAGTGGGTGTCGCGTCTCGCGATGCAAGGCGCTCCTCGAAGTACGGAGGCCGGGGGCATCGGTAACCGCGCCATCCGGCGACGATTACGGTAGCCGAGACGCGTGTTGCCGCGATCTTCTCCGGACCTCTCCTTAATTGGCTCGTTGCCAGCCAGGCGGCTATATAAAGCGGCGGCGCCTAATTGGGGGCCCTTGTTCGCCTTCGTCTTTGTTGACTGATTTTGAATATCTTGTTTAAATTACGTTTCAGCCGCTTTGCACCTATCCTTTTTTGTAAGAGCATTAAGCCGGATGTTCTTTGGATTGGAAAACGGATTCTTTTTGTTGGCGCATTTCGACGCGCCGTAGTACTAACCGGAATTGCATGTTAAGTTGGAGTTCTACCGTCTACAGGAGTTGGAGGGGACGTGCCGTCGTTTACAACCTTAGCGTTGCGCGGTGGATTTGTTGCGCGAACCCTCGCGAACCACACGTATTTTAGATTACTTCCACAGACGCGCATCGGTAACATGGGACGGGCCCTTGTCCCGTGTTTCTTCAGTAGCAGTAATTTTGTTTTTAGTTTAGTTCTTTTTGTCTATCTTTGACTGTAGTTTGGTGTCATAAGGATAAACTACTTAATCTTATATATAAAGCTGAATGTCTGTCTGTCTGTCTGTCTGTATGTCTGTATGTCTGTACGTATGTGCGGAATAGAAATTTTTATTTCTGAACCGATCGGGACCAAACTTGGCACACATATACTTCGGGGCAGGGAGCGTGTCATAGGCTACTTTTCGTTATCGATCGATATCGATTTTATCGATTTTTTGCAAAATTTGAGCTAGGGGGCTGGGATTTTGCACAGGGGGGTAATCGAGCATGCTGATCACCCCGGAGGGGTTCAAATTTTGCAAAAAATCGGTAAAATCGACATCGATCGATAACGAAAAGTGGACTATGACACGCTCCCTGCCCCGAAGTGTATGTGTGCAAAGTTTGGTCCCGGGCGGAGCCGGGTTTGCCATCTAGTCAGTAATAAGTTTATTTCGGTCGCGCGTTAGGTGCGCAGTAGGATGCTTGCTCCATAATAAGGTTCGTCGCTTATTATGGAGCAAGCATCAGGCCTCGGGTTACATCTAGGTGCTGTGAGCCCACCAGGCGCCACAGTGGGTCTTTTCTTGTCAATGTATTTGAAGAGAGATCTGCCTACCGATGATCTTGAAGAACGCTTCGAATGCGAACACTCCTGTGAAAACCAGGTTCAAAATGTCGAGAAGTGACTCGAATGTGTGTCCGGATGGATAGTGCTTGCACGCTAACGACACCGTATTGAGCACGATGATGAGAAAGATGACATACTCGAACGCCCGCGAAGTCACGAACCACCTGAAGAGAAAAGGTGGAAATTATAGAGAAGAGGGGTGGTTGAAAAGAAAGCTTACCAAACACGATATTGAAAGCGATTTCTGGGGATATAGCGTCGATGTGGCTTGGCTTTTAGGGCAAATTCGATGCATTTCCTCTAAAAAAACTAACGAGATAGCATCAGATAGCATTGAGATAATAATTATTTTATTTTGGTAGATCTCTACAATTCTGAAAATAACATTTTTTAAGCGATGCCCAAACCTGATTTTTGTCTAACTCGCAGTTTTCGTACTCTCGTTCTCCTTCGTTTTGGAATGTGACGATAACGAAACCGACGAAGATGTTCATCATGAAGAAGGCTGAATTGAGATTATTTTGATGAGGATTTCAAAGAGATAATCCAGTGAAGAAACCTACCTATTACAATGATGAATGCAATGAAGAATAGAGCTACTGCTTGTCGGCTGTTATGAACTGGACCATGATCTTCTTCGTTTGAGTTGATAGCAACGTAAAGTAGACTGAAAATGGTCTCTTTAAAAAAATAGCCTACCTTCTTCTCCATAACTCAGAAAAATGACCGGAATTTACGCAAGGAGCTTGCGGAAGTTCCGCCGAGTCACCTGCGGAAGTTTTAAACGTGCTGCGGAAGTTCCGAAGAATGCCAACCACAACAGCAAAAGAGAACACGGAAGCGAGATTTGAACCTCACTTTATTGACTGTGAGACGCACCTACTATCCTCTACGCTACGGCTGACATGTTCAATAATGCGCTCTTGTTGTTGGCGAGGCAACATCGTAAGAGACAACACATTCAAAACCCGGGGGAAGTACCGGCATGTCAAAGTGCTGCGGAACCGCTGGCATTTTTCGGAAATTCCGCAGGATTTGAAGAAGGTCCTGCGGAAGCTCCAGTTTTTAACCAGTTTGGCATGGAAATCCCGCGGAAGTTCCAATTTTCAACGTTTTCATTTTTGCAACACTGAACAAAATCCTGCGGAACTTCTGCAAATTTGGCTTACCCTGCGGAAGTTCCGGTGATTTGTCTGAGAAATTCAACTACTCTACTTTGCAAAGAAGTATGGGAGTTGTATAAATTGTTAATTTGGGGAGGGGGGGGGGCATGAATTGGAGAACTTTCTTTTCAGGAATCGTTCCTAGTCACAAAACGCCCTTCATTTCTCAATTTTTTCTTCTTTCAAAGGAAAAAATCTTGTTTTCATATAATAAAGTTATAGTGTAGTGAATTTCGTGAAAGTAACTCCTATATTTCAAATGCATGTAGTCCAGTAAATGTTTCGCTCACATAGTGCCTCTGCGGTGACTACAACAACTGCGCGTGAAAAACGCCCTAGGACGAGTAGGCACCTTATTCGATGCCACAGCTACTAGCCATACATACATTTCAGTACCGATTGTAGAGTTTTTCATTCGAAGGAGACCGTTTAAGAATTCTTCAAGGGATAAATATCAGTCACAAAAATTTTCAACTTTTTTGCAAGCGCCTTGAAATACCAAAAAGCGCATGGTGATAGCCACTATCATTCCGAGAAAAGGTCTCTTGGAGCCAGTTTAGTAGAAGATTCTAGATTATACTGTACCCTGCAGTTTTACTATTCGAGAAGACACTTTCAGATCTTCCCCCCCCCCTTCCTACATATTCAGAATTTCTTTTACTCATGACCATGGTTAGATATAGTATAACGTCGCTAAGGATTCTATAGGACGCACATAATCCACAGATTCTCTCAGGATTCTTACAATTCAAACCAAATGCAGTTTTTGAACTCACTCAGGCCATCCTTCGAATGTGGAGACAACAAAGAGGGAAATCATAGCATTGCCAACATTGTCAAAGTTGAAATCGTTGTTCTTCCATTCTCGCTTCTTCGATATCGGCTTCGTGGGATCACCATCCTCGTATTCAATGAAATAACCTCTGCAAAGGGGGAGACTATAGGGAAGGGGGGGGGGGAGGAACTTGTAAAAAAAACAGTGAAAGTACTCCTTACTGGCACTCTTGAAGGTTCATTTTCGACAGATCATTACAAGAGAAGAAAGTGCCCTTGAACAGTTGTACTCCAATAATGGCGAACATAAACTGAAAACCAGCTCCTTTGGCAACGAGCCAAAAACAAAAACAAAACAAAAATATTTACCTGCAGCATGAAGGTGACCAGCATAATGTTACCGATGGTTTTCACGGCCACAATCACACATTGCACCACATGTTTGAGACCTTTGGCTCGATTAATGGCTCGAAGAGGACGAAGCACACGAAGCACACTGTAGACAAAAGAAACATTCATTTTACAGTGATTAAAATTTTTTCAAAAACCCATAAAGAATATATAAGAAACTAAATAAATCAATTATTGCAGCGAAGTTTTGGAAGGCGGCCCTTTTGCACCGTTACAGTACGCTGAGGCAATAGGCGTACTGGGTGTCCGCGGGATGTTCATCAACAGTGTTCTGTGCGACATCGCAACAATTGATTTTTGCCCGAAACAAAAGCGTTAGAATATGCTGGCAACGCCTTTCATGATTCCTCCCGCGATTATGGTAGCGTTACGGTAGCATAAGCGTGCAAAAAGTTCCTACACTCATCGAATAAAATATTATTGCAAGTTCCTCATAAATTTTACCAATGTGTTGTTCATTTTTCCATTGATGACATGTTAAAGCAATTTTGAATTTTTCTGCTTTTATCGTTAAAAAAGGAAAAGAACAAAAAGTGGACTGCTACTTACCGAAGAATTTTTACAACGGATATGGCATCTGATTTCAGCACGAAAGAGATCAGTGAGACAGCGACAACGAGAATATCCAGCAGATTAAAGGCATTCCGACAAAATGCCCCCTTATGGAACACCAGCCCAAACACGATGACCTAAAAGGGGCATCCCGAAGTAGAGTATGCTTACTGTAGACAAAAGCTTACCTTCAGGGTAATTTCTACAGTGAATACGGTAGTGAAGAAATAGTCGAAACGGTTAAGTATCTGCAATTTTTGATTTGCAGTCTAATTTTGGGGTCCCAGGTGGATTCCTACCTTGTTCCTTTGCGATTCCGCCTCAAGTGGATCTTCTGCGGCTAACATAGCCGATGAGACGAGAATACAAACCAAAACACTGTTGGTAAAGTATTGATGGTTGACGATTTTGTTACAGAACACCCTAGAATTCCATTATTTTGTTGAAATAAAAATCTAAATGATTTTTTTCACCTGAATGGATTTGTATGGCTTAGAATGAAAAGAGATGAAGCTTTCGGTATCGGCTTGTGAGGAGTCGCCTGTGGTAATTCGCTCATTCGTCGAGGACGGGGAGTTACCAGATCATCCACGGTTTCTTGCTCTTCCATATCCATCCTGGAATTAACGAATTTTTGGAACATTACTTTGCAATAGAAAAATCTGAGAGAATTTTGCAGAAAAATTCTGAAAAGTAGATGATTTTGGGCGAAGACTACATAGGTTTCGAGAAGTAAAAATTCTTAATTATAATCCTCGAAGGAAATTGTTGAACATTTCAATAACTGTAAATATTTGAAATGATCAAATAAAGTGCAAGACTAGTTGATTCCATATACTTTTAATTTTGCTCGAAAAAAACTATAAGCGATCAGCAATAAATCATACGTACTCAAAATCACAAAACTTTTATATTATAGAATAAAGAAAAATAAGAGTTAGAAAGATAATAACAATTTTTTACCTGTCTTCTCCTTCACCGTATCCCTCACCATCCTCGTCGTATTCCTCCTCGCCCTCCATTTCTGAAAAATTAAAATGATTTAAGTCTCGTGTAGACTCCAACTGGTAACAATCCCTGTTGGAAAGAACTCAGACAATTCACCGAAACTTCCGCAGGACAGGCCAAATCTGCGGCGGTTCCGCAGGACTTTGTTTACTATTACAAAGTGGAAACCTTGAGAATGGGAACTTCCGCAGGATTTTTACAAAGCGCAGCGAAAGTTCCGAAATATGCCAGCGGTTCTGCAGCACGTTTACGGAACTTTCGCAGATGACCCGGCGGAGCCCTCCTAAACGTTCTGCGGAAGTTTCGGTCAGTTGTCTGAGAATTTGTGATGGTTACAAACCTTGCTGCTCCTCTTCTTTTTCAGCATTTGTTAGACTGTCAGCATCGGCCAAGTTATCTACAGCGATAGCCAAGAAGACATTGAGCAAGATGTAGTTACCTTGAAATATTAATAGATCAGGCAAACTCTAATCTAATCCTTTTTTGTGGATGTAGATCTCGAAATAGATCATGCTGAAGAGCTGGACGGAATTTTTCATCCAACTATTATCAAAAGGTGGATAAAGGTTCGGTTTAACGGAAAAATAAATCACGCTCGAACAAATAGATGAGAGTAAGAATTGTAGAATTTTAGTATCTAATACATTGCTCTGCGATAGTAAGTTTGTGAAAATACGAAAACAAAATTGATTTTGTGAAATAAAGAATGTAAAAACAATTCATTGATTCTTTTTCCGCTTCAAATCTGCAGTGTGATTTCAAAGATTCTTTTTCAAGAGGAGTTAAGATGATGACTCAATTCATCGTGCAGATTGAATAAAGAAAGAAAAATTCCAGGCAAAACATTTCACTACAAAATTTTCGCTTAATTCTCTGCAATAATGAAAGAACTCAAATCCTATTAGAAGAATAAAATTTGTTCAAGAAACATTTTGTAGACTATTTTAGCTTTGGAAATAGAGAAAGTGACAGTGCCTTGCTGAGGCAGTTAGTATGAAAAATTTCTGAACATTGAATTTTGTCCAAATTTTGACTAAAAAAGTTGTTTTGCGTAAGCGTCACTCAAGTTTGTGATTTCGCCACGCTACCAAAACGCCTACCGTAACCCTACCGTAGATTAAGGAGAAAATACTGTAAGCTTACCGCATATAAACAACACGATATAGTATATGGATACTATAACACCGATAGAGCCAACACCACCGAAAGAATCTATGCCATTGTACATTACCGAATTCCAATCTTCACCCGTTAGGATCTAAATACAGGGTACTGTAGGTTGGTCAACTGGTATGTTCACTGTAAGACGAACATACCTGAAACACAGTGAGCAAGGCTTGGACGAAAGAGTCAAAGTTGGCGCGCGGTTTTGGCTGCTGAGGATTGAAGTTGAACTTGCCACCAAAGACCTGGAAGAATGTAGCAGAATTCGAGAAAAATCGAGTTTCGGATTGTAAGATTATGGAAAGATGGCCCTTTTGCACCGCTACAGTATGCTACTCCCCCTTTCCTCCCCCTAGCAATTTGCAATGTAGAGATAGATAAGTTTCCAACTTTAGAGAACTCGTGCACTGAATGATGACCAAAATTCGATGCAAATGGCCCTTTTGCACCACAACAGTGTGCTAACGTATACCCGATTACGGTATCTCTTCTCACCTGCATCCCCAATAAGGCAAAAATGACGATAAACAAGAATAGCAACAGCAGTAAAGATATGATGGATCGGAGAGAGTTTAGCAATGATGAGACGAGATTTCGCAGTGACGTCCAGTACCTTGAATAAAATTATATTTTCGTATTAAAGTAAGAAAAAAGAGAAATGCGTTGACTTACTTTGTAACTTTGAAAATTCTCAAAAGCCTAGCAGATCGAAGCACAGAAACACCTAGAGGTTTCATAAGTTGTAAGTAGACCAAAACAAATTCGAGAATGGAGCTGAAATAGTTAGAATAATTTTTTCTTATATCGAAAATTCGAGAAACTCAAACTTCTGTGGATAACCTTTTTTAAAATCTCTGAAACAGGTTGATTTTCTTCTACAGCACTGATTTTTCTTATAGTTATCCCGCTCCCCCCTTCCCCACCCCCATCCCCTCGGTACACCACAAAAACTGCACTCGTGAGTTTCAGAATCTCTATGAAATGTTGTTTTCTAGAAGCCACATTTCCTAGATATAATTTTTTTTATTCAGTAACTGGGAAAAACCCATAGGTAAAAGTGCTCAAAAACTCTGTAAAGGGCCGGACATACTTCACGCGATTTCAGTCCGCGATTTGGCAATATTCCAACTTTCCATAACTCACTGTAAGAACATTTTGAATACACGGAAAATAGGGCACTTTATCAATCCACGTAAGTTGAACACGCTATGCAGGTGCAGTTTACTAATGTTGGATACGAAGATTTCTGGCGAATTGCCAAATCGAGTCGCGACTGAAATCGCCTGAAGGATGCCCGGCCCTTAAACGCAGAGGCTCGGCAGATTTGCAGCTTCGGGGTTTTGGCAGATTTGGGGCTATTCCGGCCCCTGAATCACGGACATGAACTCTTAGCGCGAAAATGGGGAAAACCCGTCTTTTGAAAACCCCTATGAGACGGGCGCGGACGAGTGAGCCGTTTTTCTCTGCCGTCAGAGACGCAGAGTAAGGAGCTAGAGAGCGCTAGAACATTTCTGCCCTACGAAGTTACGAGTGACAGCGCGTTTTCTAGCGGCGAACATACTTGTCCGCACAAGGTGTTAGGGGAGCGAAAGGAGGAAGGGGAGCGGAGCTTGCTCCCCTCCTGGCTTGCAGAATTCACATTTTCGGCCCGAAGTTGCTCTTTTGGTTCACTTGGAGGGCCTCCTATCCATCTATGTCAAATTCTGAGGTAGGTCTAATCTGCCGAGCCGCTGCCTTTAAAGTAAAAAACTATAAAATCTTCGGCTCACCTGATGACAATAAAGCAATCGAATCTGTTGAATTGTGATGTTGTGTAGGTGGTGAAACCAAGCGAGTACATTTTTAAAAACATTTCCATTGTGAAAAGAATTACAAAGAACAGATTAGCCATGGCTGAAAAAAATCCATTCAAGATGAAATTCATTCCCATATAAGGAAAGTAATAGAGAACTGTTCGAGAAAAAAAAACTCACTCTGAAAATGATCCAACCATTCACTCTGCCCATAATGTTCTGAGGTAAGCACTAATGTGTTGAGCAATACAAGCAAGATCACAAGCCAGTAAAAAGTCTGACTTTTTACGAGACGTCGACATGCGCGACGACATCTTCGATTTGTTTTTTCGAATCTGAAAAGGAAGGATTTTTGTGCAGAAAAATATAAATTTCATGAAATGATAGGAATTTCCAAAAAAACCAACAACGTAATATGCATATTTGCAAAAAATTGGCTTCTTTGCACTCAGTTACAGTATGCTACCGTAACCTCGCATGGTCAAATTATGTAAGTGGTATTAACCGCTTTTCGTTTAACCATTGACGAAAATGTGGCCCACGCACTTTTTGCTGCCAGGGACGTTTTAGACCAGGTGGTAGCCCATACCTCATGCAGAGTCATTTATTTGTAGGATATAGTATTTTTTCCACATACTAATATTTTTTCCATTTTTTTTCTCTTGGGAGCTGGACTCTGTAGTCCAGCAAAATGTTTATAGTTGTTTACAAAACAACCTGCATTTCGTGAAAAAAACCACGAAACCTTCCCACAATAAAGTGTTGTGCAAAATGGCGTCGTCCCACAGCGACGCCACGCCGCAAAATTAGGCGTCGTCGTCAATGAGTTAAAGCAGTAGGAAAGAAGAAAGGTCTGTTAAGCGATGTCACGGATAGTAATGGGCACCTCATTTTACAAACCGCGCATGATTACGGTAACGTACTGTAGGAATGCAAAAGTGCCCCTTCCTTTTTGAGCATAAAATTAGGGGAGCCATTGAGCTAAAATGTACAGCTTTAGGGATTTAGATAATTTTCCGTAAAAAATTTTTTTGGTTGAGATTCAAGTTCATAAATTCAAGAAAAAAACAACTCCATGGAGCAAAATTAATTTACAAACCGCGCATTTACGGTAACATACTGTAGGGGTACAGTGCCCCGTTCCTTTATGAGCATAAAATTAGGGGAGCCATTGAGCTAAAATGTACAGTTTTGGGGAGTCAGATAATTTCCCATAAAATCACAAATTCGAGAAAAAAAACAACCTCATCGGGCAAAATTAACTCTCATAAATCTATCCCAGTGAGTGAGACTTTCTCTATATGCAAATGAAACTAATTCAATTTTAGCAATTAGAAAAAACTATAAGAAAAATTAATTCTTGAGAGTTGAGTCAACGAAATAAATCACCTCTTGATCCTAGCACGCCACTTCGATGGTCGCACGTCCTCCGTTCGATCTTCACCTTCTTCATCCACTTCTTCACCGGTGGCTGTAATCCCAAAAATTTTTTCGAATATCATCGAATGCATGTACATATTGTTTACATGCAGAAGGATATGTTGAATGTAATCCAAAAAAATCGGAGGTGGAGAGTGGGAGGGTTGCAGAGTAATTTTTTCAAGATCATCAGAGCTTAGTATGGATACTTGGGCATGTAGTGCATACAAAATATAGAGACAAAGCAAAGCGACCTTTGAAACTGGCTTGGCGGCTGGGAGGCGGGACCTTGTGACCTGATTAAGGCCGCTCGCACCCGCTACGCAGTCTGCGTCTCTCTCGCGCGCGTGCTCTTTGATTACTATCTGCCTTAATTAGGTCACGAAGCCCTGCCTTCCAGCCGCCAGCAAATTGAATGAAAGGGTAAAAGTAGCTTGACGATTGAAAGAAATAATTCTTTTTGAGATTCAAACCAATCAAAAAAGTTAGTGTTGGCTATCTAGTGAACGAGGAAAATTGTATATAATTGAAAATTTTATTATTAGGTTGTAACAGAATTAATGCAGGTTTTGAATTCCAACCGCAATAAGTCATACGCTTCTCATTTCTAAGTAGGTTGCAAGGTACCATTCGATAGAGCAAAGCAAGCTCTACAAGATGGCTATCTTGCTTTAGCAACGACTCCGATCCACCACGAGTTTCGAGCCAAAAACTAAAAAGATTCAACTGTCTGAAAATTTGAGAAAAATCGTAACTCAGTTCATAAAAAACCTTGAAAAATTCTAACTTGCTCACGTAAACACTATTCACATAAGACATCTATATACGCCTTAGCCGTATTTTTTTCTCTGTTAGATATCAAGAAAACGGAAATTTTCGTGCGTTTACCAAAGTGTTGCTGTGCCGTTCCCACATAAGTAGTTGTATACTACAAATTTGTAGAGGTACAAACTTAAATTTTCAGCTTTCTACAAGCTTTAGTTCTCCAGAAATTTGAATTTTAGCTTGGACCACATGACTAGCGAAAACTGTATTCGATATTTTTCGAGAACTAAAGCTTGTAGAGAGCTGGAAATTCACGTTTATACTTCTACAGGTTTGTAGTATACAACTACTTATGTGGGAACGGCACAGCATCACTTTGGTAAACGCACGAAAATTTCCGTTTTCTTGATATCTAACAGAGAAAAAAATACGGCTAAGGCGTATATAGATGTCTTATGTGAATAGTGTTTACGTGAGCAAGTTAGAATTTTCTAGGTTTTTTATGAACTGAGTTACGATTTTTCTCAATTTTTCGGACAGTTGGATCTTTTTGGTTTTTGGCTCGAAACTCGTGGTGGATCAGAGCTGTTGCTAAAGCAAGATTGCCACCTTGTAGAGCTTGTTTTGCTCTATCGAATGGTACCTTGCAACCTACTTAGAAATGAGAAGTGTATGACTTATTGCGGTTGGAATTCAAAACCTGCATTAATTTTGTTACGACCTAATATTATTAAAAAATTATACGAGAAAAACCAAAAATGCCATGATGTCACCCAAAATACAGTTTCTTGGCTGAAATACAACAAAAAACCCGGATAATCCATTGATTTTAACTATCCAAAGCCAACTTTAGGTGGATAAAGAAAAGAAAAAAATTGATTACACATAAAATTCCCAAGAATGATAGAATATCGTGATAAGTTGCGCATCACTGAAAAGCATGGATAATATTCTTTATTTCTCAAAAATCATTCAGATAACCGGTCCTAAAAATTTTGTCTTCACTAGATTGAAGCATTTGCAAGCGACTGATTAAAAAAATGCTATATAATTTTTTCATTCTAAAATTCAAAACGCTAAAAAATCGTGCTACTTTGGTACATTCATTCTTGCTAGGAGCACTTTTTCATTACTAGCATTAGCATTACTTTTCATTACTTCATTGAACCATTATTCAGAACAAAAACAAAAAGTAAAAGTACTATTTCTCAAATTTTCTAAAGTCACGTCCAGTACATCTCAGCTGAAACGTGCAAGAACTTTTGTGGCAAGAAAAAAAAATGAAAGATGACAGACATCTAATCCCTAGAGAAAGGCGCGGGTGGTGGTTGCAGCTGACAGCTAACATGCAACGATGATGAATTTTTCTTTGCAAGAATTTTCTGCGAAGTGGTCCCGTGGCGAATGGGGATTACGGTGACAATGCACATTGGAGACCATAACTTTTAAGCGGTGATCTATTCTACTAACCTGTCGCCTGCGGTTCTTCCTCTTGTTCATCATTCACAGGGTCAATGTCTTCGGCTTGCGTGATCCAGTCCAAATATCCTAAAATAATTTTTTGAGTAATGTAGGAGTACTGTAGGTGACACAAGTGATGGTAATGCTCAAAATTTACCTTTCAAATCTTCCTCGAGTTGTTGTTTCTCTCGAAATTTCTGGAAAAGACCACGAGCACGAGCTTTTTCTCGTTCTTTAGAGAACTCTCCAGAAAGCACACCCAAAACAAGATTCAGCACGAAGAATGAGCCAAGAATTACAAGCGTAACGAAGTAGATCCAAGGCCATTCACGTCCAACAGCATCGTTTACCTTGAAACATTCTCAACGCTATCACCAAGGTCACGAGCTGGAGAATTTTCAAAACATTTTGAAACAGGAGATTTTCAGAAAAAAATGCGCAAAGGATGATTTGAAGGAAATAATTTTTGAAATGCAAGAGTTTCAACCACCACAAATATTTTTACAGCAACTATAAGTAATCCTTTTCTACACAGATATTACCCCTCTAATTTTTGGCCATGAGCAATCAATAAATCATGAGTGAATACAAAGATGCAATCTAATATATAAAGAAACGTAAGTGACCGCGTGGCGGTCCCGAAGCGCGCAGACGCAATCTGGCACCTTTAATCACTCACTAGTATTATTATAGAAAAGTTGATACTGTAAAAAACAGAAAAGAAAAGCATTGCAGATGTTTTATTTGTATTTTGTATTTTAAAAAATTTGTTTTGATTAACTCGAGAGAATTTATGATTTTGCAAAAATTTTCGTTTCTTTGTTTCTTAACTTTTTGTCGAAAAATATCTCAATAAAAAATCAGTAAAAAAAATCAATTCTCACCCAGTACATCACTTCTGTCCATCCTTCCAAAGATACGCATTGAAACACAGTGAGCATAGCTAGACCAAAGTTATCGAAGTTTGTGATTCCATTGTTTGGTCCTGAAACGATCACAATATAGAAGCTGTGCAAAATTTAACGGCTCGTGCCTCTCCCTCCCTCCCAGATAAATCTGTATAATTAAAAATCTCATCAGATATATTCATTATTTTCATTTCATTTTTTCTCTCATTTATGGCGCACCATGAGGGTATTGAAATAAATAAATTATGTCACGAACGGTTATAGTAAGCTGTGAAATGTAGCCACTTTGAAAAAATCATGTGCATTCTTTATATTCCAAAAAATATTACAAATTTTCCTCTAAATGCTCCTACAAAATCCTCTCTTGCAGCGATTTCGATGTGACAAAATTGTACAGTCTCTGCCCCAATCCCAACCAGGCCAAAACTGGCATGGCGGAAGTCGGCGTCGCAGGGTTTCGCGGCCACGCCCATGGTCTGCTTGTCTGTTCCCTCTTCGATCTCCTCGCTCTTTCTGCCAGCGCGCATATGCAGCGCAAACGCCTAGCGCTGCGAGCGCAAATCCAGGCCGAGATTCGCCTGATTCCGATTGGGACGAACTGTATAAAGTCAGCCCAAATTTGCTAGAAGTCGAGTCAATATTGCGGAAAAATCAGATTCTTTTCACTTTTGTTATAGACGGGTAAAGATAGGAAAGAATAAATTACTGTAGATGAATATTTCAAAATTTTACCTGCCCAAGTGGTATTGGCCGAACATTCCCATCTCACGCCCATTTCTAACAATGCCTCCGATGGAACACAATGAAATGCAGAGCCTTCATTTCCACATGGTGAAGGATCTTTCTGTGCTAGTTGACCGGTAGCCGGATCAACACTAAATCAAAGATATTTCTGGATTAGAGAGCCACAAAAATATAATTTTGCTAACCAGGTGGAGTGCAGCTTGCCACAGAACAACTCTATCCCGATAATAGCGTAGATCAAAATTACAAATAAGACTAACAATGCGATGTGTAATAGAGGTATCATGGCTCGAAGGATGGCATTCAGTACGACTTGTAAACCTGAAAAATGAGGGAAAAATCAGAAAAATATACCTAAAAATGTTTTGGTCTTAAAACTGAATCGGAAGGAGAAAATGGCAATCACTGAGCTATTGATTGCTAGCTTTTGGCGGTGATGGTATACTGTAGGTGTACGGTAAGTACACTGTAAGAGAAAACGTCGGCTTTGTGTAAATATGCGCGACGATTTTCCGTAAGCTTATCAATCTTTCAGTAAAAGTGACGATTTGCAATAAGGCCATTTAATGTCCACATTGATTTTTCGCGTTCACGCTGGTAGTGTACTGTAGGGATACGGTAAGTATGTGGTATGGACCAATGTCGGCTTACAAAGGTTCCAAGCCTTTCATGACTAGAATCTCTTATTTTACCAAACTGTGAGGGATTTGTAATGAATTTGCAACATTTTTTCTCTTCTGAAATTGAGCAAATTTCTTTATTTCTGATTTTCTACTCGATCTTTGTTCAAACAAACCCCCCGAACATCGTAAAAAAATTTTTTGCGTCCGCTAACCACCCTCTCACTAAATCTATTTGCGCCGATTTGTTATGGTAATGAACCATGCGTAGCTGCTGTTCAAACAACATTTCCAGTGTTACCACCTCAATCTATAGATCAAAAAATCTACTCATTGAGATATAAAAGCTATTTTGATCCCTAGCCGCGTTTCTTTTGTATGGATAGCACATAAAGAATACACTCGTTGTTTACTTTATCTAGTTAAGTAATGTTTTTTCCGTTTGATTGCATAGTGGGTGTGCTGGTATCAAATTTCTGTATTCTTGGCCGGATCTTGTAATCTCTACTTCTAAAAGCTGGTTGGATGTTGTGTCTATGGAGATACAAAAACAATTATATTGACGAGGAGGACAATTCTGCATTCACTAAATCAGGTTTCACAAACGTCTTTTGATGCTACGGATACGGTAGCATACGGTGTTTGTCCTCAAAATGGTTACAATTATAAAATAGTTATGAAAACAAAGCTTCGTTTGAAACAGTAAGCAGAGTTAGCTACCCATTATCTAGATATATTTGGTATATTTGGTCATTAGCTAGTCTCATACTAATTTTGAGATGTGGAAATTTTTTGCGGAGATTTTGCAGATATAACAAAAAATACTGCGACAGTGGAAATTTTTCACGGAAATTTTGCGGAGATAACAAAAAATACTGCGACACTATCTAATCTCTTATATATAAAGAGTTAGCTCAGTTCAAAAATCGTCCAATAGCTGGAATCCGCGGCGGGTCCCGAAGCGAACGTTTCCAGATCTTGCACCTTTAAATAACGGTTCGCGTAGTAAAAATCGCTGCTGAATCCAAAAAATTCATCGATTCAAAATTAAATTCTTGTCGTCCATTTAAGATCTAGTCAAATTGTGAAATTATTACAACGAGTACAGTCATCTAAAAAAAGTTTGGGACCTTTGGTACCAATAATAGTCATAGTATATCATGACAAAAGTTCCATCAACTGGCTTACTGTATTGAAGCTGACAGTTTGATAGAAAAGAATTCTAGTGCAAAATATTGCACCGCTAGAATACGCTGGCATCGATCCCCATGCGCCGCATGAAATTACGGTAGCTTACTGTAGCTTATACTGTAGTGGTGCAAAAAGGGCCTATCCCAAGCAATCCCATCAAAGATGGAGTAACCAAATTTATGTGGTTAACTCACTCGGCACTCCAGATACCAACCGTAACGGTCGTAACACACGAAAAGCTCGTAAAGCTTTCACATCGAATCCTTGAATATTCATTCGGGATAGAATTGTACTCACTAATCTGAAATATAGAAAAGTTTTAGCTCAAAAAACTGATCTATCAAGGAAATTTCAAAATCCCTACCCAATAACGACTATAATAAAATCGAGAATGTTCCATGCGTTTCGTAAGTAGGCACCCGGATGACAGATCAGACCCAGTGCAACCACTTTTAATACACATTCGACCGTAAACACAACAATAAACAGATATTCGACTTGTTCCTGAAATTCAGGGCAATTATGCACTAATTTGCAGTCACTGCAGCTAGCTGTTTTAGGGCAAAAAGAAAAAAAGGGAGAAGGTACACGTCAGGGCTAATGCAATGTAATCCTGTGCATGTCAATGAAGCGCGTCTTGTGCTAAGTGCCCGTTCATGAGATTATTAGCCCTTGTACTTTTGACGGGTAATAAGCCCCTCGAATGCAACATGCGGGAATGGCCAGTGACGCAATTTGTGACTCATTAAGATTGGACGTTCCTCCGCAAAAATTATGAGTTTTGGTAAGAAAATCCTTCGAAAAAGTACGCCCAAGAACTCAAGGGTACAAATCAATTCCTAACTCTCGTAGAAAAAAGCTACGAAAAATTTTTTCTGTCATAGCTATTTATCGTAACAAAATTGTCGGATTGTGATGACTTTTCCAAGAATAATGTTTGGGACAAAAGGGCCGGACATACTTCACGCGATTTCAGTCGCGTCGCGATTTGACAATCCGCCAGAAGTCTTCAGATCAACACCGGCAAACTGCACAAGCATAGTGTGTATAACTTACGTGGATTGATAAAATGCCCTATCTTCTGTACATTAAAAATGTGCTAGTGAGTTATGGACAGTTGGAGTATTGCCAAATCGCTTCGCGACTGAAATCGCGTGAAGTTTGCCAGGCCCTTAAGATGAGCATTTCGTCCAAAGGTGGGATTCAAAAGATGTTGAAGGTTAATACTGAGTTGAAAAAAACAAGCTTGAAAAATCTTGCTTGATACGTTACAACCTATTTAGTAAAGTAAAATATAAGAAATTTAACCTTTATTTTTATTCACAAAACTTCAGAATACAAGAGCATTCTTTTATATGTAACATGCAAATTTAAGTCAAAGATACTTTGGTTTTACCCTTAAAATTCATTGAAAAAGTTTCTATATTTAAATTATCCATTTTAAAATGTTCGCGATTTAAAAAATATGAAAAACTAAACGAGAATGATGAGTGCACCAAAACGAGAAAATTATGACGTTAAGGATGGAAAAATGAAAAAAAGAGCAAAAAACTTACTAATATAGTATTTTTTGCATCCGAATCCTGAGCAGGGTATGGCTGGTAAACGGCTAACGCTATACAATTGGCACATATCATCAATAATATAAGGTACTCGAATGGCCTGGAATGATTAAAATATAGAACTTTGAGAAAAAATTTTTTTTGAAAATTAACGATTCGGAATTTTCAAGAACAAGAAAGTGATTATAGTACGTTGACAAAATTTAGGAGGATTAAGAAATGTGAATTAAAACTGCGGGTTGCAAATTTTTTACGGATGAACGTCGTATTACTGAAGAATTTGCTTTCTCCTATTTTATTTGGAAAAGATGGTTCTGCAGGTAATAATCAAGTCTAATGTTGGAGGTTGACTATGAAAATTTACAATTTTTCAAGCACTGTGGTCCAGCAGGCCGTTTTCGGGGATCACCAAGCTGATTATCTTCATAGAAATTATATATTTAGGCTGATTAGAAACGATTTTGATATTTACACTTTCAAAGCTTCAAAAATGTCCTTTTTTGTCCCTCTTTGAGCCCCCGCTTTCAGCCTCTTTAACCCCCCCCCCCTCCTCCCCCGACTGCGCCAACAGCATCCCTCCTCCGCTAATTGAGCTTGGACAAAGAGTTTGAACTTTGGAGGCGGAACCCTTGCCCAAAAAAAGATTAGAGAAACCTTAAACTCCACATACCTTACACAATTTCCTATTTCTCTTTATCTCTCCCCCCCCCCCTTCCCCAAAAATTTAGCTATGCAAGTTAGTCGATTAAAAAACAACTGACGTGGAACTGCTCTCAACTATTTATAGAAGCCGTAAATTGAAATGCCAGCTCGGAAAAGCACCATTTTAAGGTGCAGTGATGTCACGCGTGTTCTTTGCACCGTGTGCGGCACGAGTTTCGCGGCAGGGGGGGGGGGAAGCATGACGTAATTTTGCACAATTACGCTATCCCGTTCATTAGAGCAGTCATAGTCGGAAGTACATTGGAAAAAGCTCACCTCCATTCCACTATAGCAATACATATCTTCCTGATTGGATTGGTCAATGAAAGACACAACAATGAACGTTCCGATCTGTAATTTTGCGTAGTTTTTGGAGGTTTGAGTGTAAAAATTTAGGGGCAAAAATAATCACCGCTCAACCACATTTGCTTGCCGCAACGGTTTCCTTTGTTGTGGTCGTTTCTTGGTCGCGTCTTGGCCGGAGGAAGCCGCCACCGCCGCCTGAATAAAGTCCACAATTCGTAAAAAAAAAGTAGGTCTCAAAGGGAAAAAAGAGAATGTGGGAAGAAAAAGGAAGGAAGTGCATTTACTACAAGAAAAAAAGTTCAGAATGGAAAGAAAATTGGTTTTTTTTTATTTTTGAAGGAATGGTTACAGTGTAAAAGAAAAGAAAAAAATTTGATGCGCCCACAGATTTGCGTGAGGGCGGCCGCGCTGGTCAATCGATAATCATCTTATGAAGCATGCCTCAACACTGGACAACCGCGACGCTTACGCTCGCACAACTCCGTCGTCGCGTGGATTTGAGGGACATGGTATTAAAAATTATTTAACAGTTGTTGGCCGCACAGTCAGTGGGTTTATTATATTTTCCCAGCAAATGAGTATTTTTCATTAAAAAAATATGCAAAAAGCGTCCAAAAATGCTAAGAACATATCAGAAACCCGTCAAGAAAAGCTCTTAGCTGAACTCTGATGTAGAATCAGTGAGCGCACAAATGAAAGAATTTTTCATGCCCGATTTGCTGCTAAGTAATGGCTATATAAATAAGAGCGCACATAATTTGCAGCTGCAGAATATTCTACATAAGCACTTAAGAATAGTCTAGAATGTGCAGCAGAAATTGCAGAAAACACCTTGAGGAGTAACATTGGCTTTTTTAACATCAAAAGGGTAAAGTGATACTTGGAATAAAGTGATGCAGATTTTGTTTCAATTTTCCGAGAAATGGCAGTTTTTGTTCAAAAAATCTGAGCATGCGTTCTGTATCAAAAAAAAATCCTCTTTGGTCCTTTTGAATCCAGCATGCTGTTACAACCACCTACAACAACTTTAAAGACAAAAATTTTCATAATTTTAATAAGCATTAATTTCTATCCTGGGCCAACAAGAAAAAGTGCTGGGTAGGGTAGACAGGATTTCCTTCAAACAACCACTCTTTTCCCAAGTTTTTCAAAAAGAACAATGAGATGGGTAACGAGGAAAGCTCAGAAAATTCATCATGAAGAGAACACTAAGATTTGAAAGGTTTTTGTAGATTATTCTCATCATGTTAATCTAGAAAACGAGATAGAGTTTCAATAAAATGAAATAATTTCAGGATGCGAAAGAAAATCAAGGAGAAAAGGAGGACAAGCGAGGGGAACAGATCTGATCTTACATGTACTAGTATGAAATGAATATATGTAGAAGGAAAATACTGTTGTAATTTGATTTCTCTAATGGTGTATGACAGATAATTTTGCAGAAAATTCCCTTCATTATTGTCATCCTAGCTGTTTTTAATGAATTTCTCAAGAATATCTATGTCGCAGCACGTTCTTACTGAGACCGGAAAGAAATCCTACAATTTTCATAAGGCAGACTTATTCTGGAGATAAAATAATTCAAAAATTCAAATCTAAATAAAAAAATCTTTAAAAATCTAGGTAAATCTACAAATAAGTAAACAATCTCTCAAAATAATTGCACAAAATGGGAGGTACAAAAAAGCTTAAAAGCTTTCAAAATGCCACAAAGGAAGAATAAGTAGTTATGAATTCATATAGATTTCTTGGTTAGTAAATCAGTGCTAAGAGCCCATTTATTCATACTTTAGAGTTCACTGTCTGTGAGATTATCATCCCATCGTCCCTTTTCCTGAAGAGTAGAGTAAATCTCGAACTACTTGCTTCAGCAACAACTTCAGTCAGTTTTTATACGAAGGAAGAAAATTTTTGCAGAAGCACACATATTTCATAGTTAAAGGGCTCCTGATGTCCGGCATTTATCGAAAGATGGATGCGTTTGATGCACGAGAGAAGTTTGCACAATGAATAATCGCCTTTAAAACTTCTACATGTGGAGGTAATTTTGCGTTGAAATATGTTAAAATTCTAATAGTTGAAGTTACTAATTAAAATTGTGCGACACAACCTTTTTGAACCCTCTAATCCGTCTGGCGAGATTCCATTTGCTCCAAAATTTTAGAGTGGAGTAAATTTACACTTTAACGACATTTTTCCACCCAGAAAATATTCCAATTAGACGTTTCCGCACCAACATTTCACTTTCTTCTTACGCCAGCTCACTTTCTATGTAAAGGCGTTCACATCGACACTTTGTTTGCTGATTTATGCGCTTCACAATGTCTCCACCATCGGCATAAATCATCAAGTAGGCATTGATCTACTGCAGCTGCTTTTCCCCTTGCCAGATCGATCCCCGGGACTCTCTGCAAGTGTCGCTGAAGCGGGTGTGTGTGTAAGCGATGTGAGGGTGGCTGAGAACTGGGGGGGGGGGGGGAGCCAGTAGCTGAGATGAGCGATGAAGTTAGGCGCCGATGGCCATGAACAGCTGCACAATCACTGAAAGAAAATCTGGCTCATTTTTTGAGGAATCAGCTTTCCACATTTTTCCTTATTTTTCTGCCGAATGACCGAAGTGAAGAGGGAGGGGGTGGGAAAATTATGAAGGAAAATGAAGAAGTCAGTCAAATGAAGACTACTTCCGAGGTTGGAAGAAACTTCATAAAAGTACTAGTGAACCAGTAATCTTAAAGGTGCTAGTTGGACGCGCTCGCTTCGGGACCCGCTCGGTTTCCCGCTATCTGTTGATTTTTGAATGCATCTTGCGATTCTTTACATATTGGATAACAGCTGTAGAAAGCGTTGTAAGTAATGACCCAAAAAATTTCTATAATTTCCTTTTCTTTTTCATTTTGCAACATAGCTTCACCTCTTCCGCATTCCTCCCTCCCCCCCCCCCTTCCGAAACTTAAATTATGAGTCACATTCATGCTAATACTATTTTGGCTTCATTCCGATTTGTATTATAATATAGCCTTTAATTCAACTTACTTGGCAGCTGGAAGGAGGGGTTCTGTGACCTAACTAAGGCCGCTCACGCCCGCTACGCAGTCTGCGTCTCTCTCGCGCGCGTGCTCTCTGAACATTACCTAGCCTTAATTAGGTCACGAAGCCCCGCCCTCCCGCCGCTAAGCCAACTGAATCAAAAGGGAGGTATACTTCAGTTTTAGGATCATTACTAAACTTTTGAAAAAATGTGGAAAAATCAAAAGCCAAAGCTCGTGATCCTTAACTTGCAGCTAATCATGCTAAAATTCAAGATTTGGTGCACCTCAGGGAGACAAAGTAGATTTCACAACTTTTATCATTTTATTACTTTTTATTTGATTGAGATGGCATTACTTTAACAGCTTCCTGCAAAATAAGGAAATGCAGAAAAAATCGTAAAAATGGGTCACAAGGCTAATTTTTATAAGCAATTAGAGTAATTTTTCGATACAGCAGCTTGAACCTAATTTTTTCTAAATTTTTTCAGTAAATTTCAGACACGCCGAAAACAACTAAAGTATACAGCTATTTTGTCTACCGTTCGAAACCAGACAACATATACCATATATCCCCTCTCTCCTCTTTCCGTTCCCTAATGATTATCGCTACATTTTACACTAATGGAAAAGCTACATCACCTGTCAATCTTGATAGAGCATGACCGGATATTGTGCAGCATTTTTTCTATGATGCATTAGTTTGCTTGAAATATTCCGGAATGGGAAAAAATAATGAAGAGGTGAGAGCAAGGGCAAACGTTGTATTGAAAATTAGCACACAATCTCAGATGTGAGGTTACGGAATTTTTTTTTTTGCTTTTTTCGAAGAGAACAAAAGCTGAGGAAAAGCGAAGATTTTATAAGGATTAGTGAACCAGTAATCTTAAAGATGCTAGATTGCAAGCGCGATCGTTTCGGGACCCGCTCGGTCTCCCGCTATCTGGTAATTTTTGAACAACCTTACGTTTCTTGATATATTAGTTATCAGCAGAGTTTGATTATTAAGAGTTGAGACAACTGTATCTAGAAGAAAAACCAAAATTATCTACCATAGTGGATTTAACTATGAACTAATCGATTTGTTATTAATTTGCTAAAAGATGCAGTTCAAACATGTGTGCATTTGCACAAAATTAACAACAGCAATCGAAAGCAGTCCGGCTTTATGTAACAAGAAAATTACTGCTACGAAATCCTAATTTGCAAAAAATGCTTGAATGTATAAAGCAAGTAAGCCACAGCAATTAGCTTGCAACAATTAGGCGTCTTCTCTGCGGATTCAGCGTGTTTAGCGTCTAATTGTACTTTCATTTTAGTCATCGACTATTGCATGTTTCAGGCAGACATTTCTCCAAGATCGACAAAACTCCATCTACTGATTGGCGTTCGAAATCCTTAAATTACTACCGAGTTGCAAAAATCCCGACTTTTTTCCCATTCATGGCTTTCTTCCACGACCAGACGACGTCTGGGATTGTAATTGCACAAAGTGCAAAGGGAATGACGTAATATTGCACTGACACCAAATACCGTGCGAGCTTAGCAAATTTTGAATCAGTTTATTCGTTTTTACAGCTAGTAAAGCAGTAAGCTGAAGGTGCTAAATCTGGGAGCGTTCGCTTCGGGACCCACCGCGGTTTTGGCGTTACGATTCTTTATGTATTAACATCGGATATCAATTTGATTTATTCCAACACCAGACTTTTTGCATCATTGCTATTTTTTCTCTTTCAAATAAAGCTATAAACGCAAATTGAGGTAGTTTTTTGAGAATTTTAATTTCCCCCCCCCCCCTCGCCCAGCAAACTCAGCGATGACAATCTTGTTTTCACTGACTCTTTGTTGCGTGAGTTACTAATTGTAGATCTGATGTGAGTGTTATGAAATGTGTGTTGCTTGGCTGCCTAGTGGCCAAGATCACTTATCAACACCTCTTGGCTTCACGACAGAGACATGCCAAGCCTCGCTATTCCTCCCCCCCCCCCCCTTTATCCCACCCCCTTCCTCTTTCCCGCCGCTGCGAAGGAGGCAAAGAGGCCATATTGTTGCCATATGAGCCACACACGCGCACATGGAGAAAGCCCGAGCTTTGTCGGGATCTAAACTTCGTTTTTGAGCGGGGAAATTCCGCAGAATTTTGGATGAATTTTCGCAGACCGCCCACGG